ACATACAGATACAAACACACACACACACACACACACACACACACACACACACACACACACACACACACACACACACACACACACACACACACACACTCATGTATACTCCTGCACACAAACACAGGATCACGGATCTCTGCAGTAACCTATCTCTGCCACCAGGGAGCAGTGGACACTAGTGGATATGGAACTGATAGATACAGTCACCGCTGAGGCTTTATATTTGTCTGCCTTAAACACTTGTTTCTATGCGAGTCATCTTTGTTTGGCATTAGTATGTACTTTATATTTTATACCATACACACACGCACAAACACACACCCATGCACACACAGTTTTAAAGTTTATTCTCTGAGCCACAGGAAGCAGAGACCTGAGACCATGGACTAATGTGATGGTACTTCCTGGTTCTAGGGCCGCAGTGTTTTGAATTTACCACTATCATTACCCCTAGATTTCTGACCTGGGTTGGGCCAAGGTAAGACCTAAACCAATTTATCTTCATAACTTACTAATAGTAATAAAACTTACTACTTATATGTATCATATGTATTATTCTATGTATGATACATATAAGTAAGTGTTATTAGTTTTAGTAATAACACGTCACGATGAGTCTTTCATTCACACTGTTTTAATACCACAGGCCTCACAGTTAAATGGTCTGGAGGGAAATAAATGTGATGGCTTCATTGGTACCTGCAGACGTGGTTCATCGGTGCATGTAGCAGGAGAGGGGAGGGGAGGAATGAGAGGGAGGGAGGGGACTAATTGGGCTCCAGTGGGACTGATGGAGATGTTGTTTGTCAGGGAAACTTCAGAAGAGCAGGAAGAGAACATGGAGGTATCGCTCACTGATGATGAGAAGTAAAGAGAGGTCAGAGAAAGGACTGAAAAGAATAAACTAAACACAAAAAAACATAAATTCATGTCTCCAAACCATCTCAGACTGTGTTATAATCCACTGCTGTTTCAGTGATGAATTAATCGTTATCTAATGTCTCAATTTAATGATAAAAGTTTAATATCTCTTACAACCTGCTCCAGTGACTTCTACTGAACTCTGCAAATTCAGATTAAAATCCCCTCATGTGGCTGCGGCTGTAAAGTGCCAAACTGTGGTTGTGTCCTTAGGCAAGACACTTCCCCCACATTAGAATGAGTCTGGTGTGTGTGAATGGTTGGTGGTGGTGGGAGGGGCCGATGGCACAGACTGTTTGCTTTGCTTCTGTCAGTGTGCCCTTGGCAAGTAGTTTAGAAAGAATAATGACAAGTGAAGCATCTTTGAGAGTCCAGTACAGAGCTGCATGATATTATTATTATTTGTATTATTATTAATACCATTATTATTTTATTAAGATAAAGTAAAATAAACGTAACTGAAACAAGACTCTTAACTTTAGCATAAGTAATCTTTCTTTATATACCGCCTTTCACAGACCAGAGTCACGAAGCAGTTTACAATTGTTATTTTTGGGTAATTGTCTCTCACTTCACACAGAGATGGGAGGGGCCAGTACAGGAGGCACATGCCAGACCTATTGTACATGTTTTTAGTGGTGGGGAAACCAGAGTGCCCGGAGGAAACCTATGCAGACACGGGGAGAACATGCAAACTCCACTCAGAAAGACCCCTGTTCTGACAGGGATTTGAACCCAGGACCTTCTTGCTGAGAAGCGAGAGTGCTATCCACTCAGCCACTGTGCCGCCCAAAGAAGCAAAGATAAATGGGTAATACTGCTACACCAAAAGCTCTTTGTGTCCTGGGTCTGTGAAATGCGCTATATAAATAAAGATTGCTTACTTACTGGAGGCAGAGGACCAAGGGCAGTGTGTCCTGGTTCCCTGTGTTTGGAGAGGACACGAGGATAGCGTCTGCCCCAGGACTGCGACACTCACCACAACATCAGTATTTCAGAATTGCAGAGGGAAGTCTGCTCCAATACATAATTTTACACACACACACACACACACACACACTTTTGTTACCTGGTGGGTCCCTTTGACAGGGCCGTTCAGAATGGGACCCATAGACATATTTTTTTTTACTGGGACTACTTTAAGTAATACAAAACAGTCAATAGAAAACAAACAACTCTTTTAAAGGAATTTTATTTTAGATTTTTTTTTCGAATTGCAGTGATTCTATTTTTGACATAGAATTTAATGCCACTCCATGTCCGATGTCTAAGGTCATCTGGTGAGGCATTAATGCAGGCCAGGCAGTGAGACTTCCCAGGGACCTTTCCAGTGTGTATGAAAGGTGTCATGGTCTTCTCCACAGCCTTCACCTCAGATGCAGACCATGGCTTTCTTACACGTTCTAGGGAGAGAAATAAAAATATATTAGCAATATACACTCCCAGGGTTAGGACCAAGCAGCCTGGCTGTAATCCCCCACCTGGTACACTTACCAGAAGGGGCACTGCCACTACCATGGGGTGCATCTGGATGAATGGTTGGTTGGTTGAAAGGTTCTCCGCTTGAAGTTTCTTTTAGCCCGTCCGTTTGTGAGAGGATCTCTACTGCTCTCCCTGTCGCACAGAAAAAAAAAAAATACAAGTGGCCTTTAGGGAAAAAAAATCATACATATTTTAATAATATCAAGAATTACCTTCAGGCTCAATTTGTATCTGGTCGAGGCTCTTTCCTTTGAATTCCGTCACTCTTCCCTGCTCCATGGCCATCAACACTTTGCTGATTTTGGCCAGCTCCAGTGTCCCCTCTGGTAGTCTGTAATATTGCCTGTGGATGCGAATGTCATGGCCGAGGAAGTTGGCAAGTATGTCCATCTCATTCTCTTTCATATTGAGAACTGTAGACATAGTAGCTGTGTGCTTTCTAAGTTTGGTTGAGGATAGCATCTCTGGATGCACCGCACCACATTCTTTGGCTACCTGGCGTAGGGAGTCTGATCCCCTGATGTGGGTGTCTGCGCCCGGGCGGGAAAAGAAGTATGGGTTATGGTCAGAGATGGAACAGGCCCTTCTGTTCTCCACCAGCACCTCCATCGAAGCAATCATTTCAGGAGTCAAAAGAACCGGCACTTTCCGACTTCTTTTCCCTTTAATTTCAATGCGTTGAAAATGCTGACACAGCTTTTTCTCAAGTTGGGACAGTCCCAGAGCAATGTCAGAATGGATCCCAGTCTTACTTCTTAAGGTAAAGCTGTCAGTGGCATCTTTGAAACCTCACCTTCCCTTCTTCGATTGAAAATGATGACCTCACAAAGAGTCAAAACTGCCAGTTTAGACCAATGCTTAGACGTTGGCTCACTTATTAGGGTTTGCACATATTCAGGTCGACATACCTCAATATGTGCATGCATGGCTCTAACGTCCTCAGTCAGAGGGAGCAGGTCCGGAGTGTTCCACTTATTGCCGGAGGGTCTGTAGGGCAGCAGAAGAAACACAGACGTCCCACCTCTTCTCAAAAAGCAGCCGGCTTCGTTGGAGGTTTTTAATAAATAGTTCATCAACACAATGCTCCATTTTTGAGTCACATTCAAGAATATCTGCTAGCTTTCTGAGGCTATGGCCGAGTTTGAGGGCCAAGGATGGAGTCTTGTATTGATTTGTTTCCTCATCATATCCAGCCACACACCTGACTGCATCAATCACATGGTTAAAGTTGGAAGGAATAAAGAAATCCTTAATTGTTTTCAGTTTCCCTGCGGTTTTTGCTTCGTTAATTAACCTACCGACTTCTCTCATTTTCTGCCTAATGTAATCATGCTTTGTCTTATCATGCCCGTGTTTTAAGTACAGGTGCTCTCCGAGTCTCAGAATCCCCTTTTCTGCTTTGACAACACCCGTGACCTCATCCTGATGCATTGCCGAAATTAAAGACCACAGCTTTTTGCTGATGCCCTCCGGTACAGGCTGGGCTAGGGAGCAGAGGGACTGGACCCTACTTCTACCTGGTTTAGCCTGGGCATCTTTCTGTGAAAGCCGGCACCTGGCCACATGCCTCCACAGCGACTTTCGCTTAAGCAATGCCCCACAGTCTATACAGTGCAAAAACTCACTGGATTTAACTGGGGAATTTGGCTGTTTAGCTGGGACTAAAGTTCCAATGCCGGCCTTTAAAACCTCAAAATTGTGCTCACGGTTTCCACTATTCCTGATCAAATCAAACTGAAGTTTACGTGCTTTAGATTTCACAGGTAGAGCCAATGCTCTGGCTACGTCACTTTCATTTCCATGTTTTCTAGTCAAATGACGGGACATTTTGTGGCAGGACATTGAACAGTAGAGGCAGAAGTGTCTCTTGCTGTATACTCGCCCCCCATTTTTCTTCTTTTGCAGCTGCATGATAACAATCTTATTTGCCTTTGGTTCGTCACTTTCCGAGTCTTGAAGAAAAGTGTTTTTGATTTTTCTTTTTCCATACTTTTTTACAGGTTTCTTCTTGACAGTTAAATCGTCAGAATCTGAGTCGACTTCATCAATTAGGGACTCTTGACTAAGCTGCACAAACAACAAATAATTTGTAATCATTCTATATAACAATTTGAAGTCATGACTTGTAGTCAGCACTTACCAGTGGTTTGTAAGCGTGCGCTTCAGTGTGCTCCTCCATGATTTCTTGCAGCCTAATGAACCACACACTTGCACCTTTTTCTAGCCTGACACCTGATTTCCTCTGTTGTGCTGCTCCATGATTGGCTCCAGCCTGCTGGACTGAAATTGCCCCAGTGTGCCCCTCCTTGATATCCCGCAACCCACCACCAGGGTTCCGACACATAACACACTTTTTTCAGGAAAGTAAACCTCCAGGGGTCCTTTCCATATTTTTACAGAGACTGCATAAGGACCGTTAGAAAAGCATTACCCATTGATTATTAAGCTTGGACCAGTGGGGTCCGGTGTTCGGGCCCCACCACGTAAAACCAGTCCCCATGACGTGAGTGGAATCTCAGGTTATGGAACCCACCAGGAGTTGAAAACAAGTGCACATACACATACACATACGCACACACATACACACACACATACACATACACATACGCACACACATACACATACACACACACATACACATACACATACACACACACATACACATACGCACACACACACATACACATTCACATACACACACACACACATAGACACACGCATACGCACACACATACACACACACACACACATACGCACACACATACACATACACACACACATACACATACACATACGCACACACATACACATACACACACACATACACATACACACACACATACACATACACATACACATACGCACACACATACACATACGCACACACATACACATACACATTCACATACACATTCACATACACATGATGACAAAGATGGCGCCTCGTACGGTCGACATGGCTCTTTGCTGCTCTCTTTTTCTTTTGTTTTTACTTTTTAACTGTGCATCTGGCTGTTCCTACACCCGTGAGGAACTTATGAACATCCGACCCACCGTTCCCATGGACCTATTGCCTGTTTTCTTGGCATCTGCGGCTGATTTAGTTCATGTTCTAGCCAAAAAAGTGTGGGCCCGTAAAAGGGGAAAGCGTGGAGGCCTGCTCGTGCGTCTTAGGAGGAGAGGAGCGCACGGCTCTCCCCGGCATTTTTCTCTCCAACGTACGCTCACTGGGCAATAAGATGGACGAACTCAGCCTGCTCATGAGAAGAAACAAGGACTTCGCCACATCCTGTGTCCTCTGCTTCACTGAAACCTGGCTAAATGAGCGGATCCCGGACTGCGCTCTGGAGCTGCAGGGTTTTGGGCTGTTCCGCGCGGATCGCCATTGTGCGCTCTCAGGGAAGAGCAGAGGCGGAGGGCTGTGTTTCTACGTCAATACAAACTGGTGTAACGATGTGACAGTGATCTCCAAGCACTGCTCTCCTGCTCTGGAATATCTTTTCATTCATTGTAAACCATATTACTCCCCGCGGGAAATTGTTTCATTCATTCTTGCCTCTGTTTACATACCGCCATGCGCGGACACGCGCGAGGCTCAGCGCGCACTCGCAGAGCAAGTACTGTGTATGGAACGCTTATACCCGGACTCTCTGATTATTATCCTGGGGGATTTTAATAAGGGAAACTTGAGCCAGGAATTACCCAAATACAGACAGTTTATCAAATGCCCGACCAGAGAGGAGAACACTCTGGATCACTGCTACACCACCGTGCGCGGAGCTTTTCGCGCTGTTCCCAAAGCAGCCCTCGGCTTCTCAGATCACTCCATGATACATCTGGTTCCTGCTTACAGACAGAGACTAAAGCTCTCGAAACCTGCAGTGAGGAGCTCCAAAGTGTGGTCTGATGAAGCTGTGGAAGAGCTGCGCGCATGCATGGAATCTACAGACTGGGACCTTTTCAGAGCTGCCACAGATAGTTTGGATGAATATACGGACACTGTGACGTCATACATTCACTTCTGTGAGGATAGCATCATTCCAACAAGGACCAGGGTCATCTATAACAACGACAAACCCTGGTTCACTGCTAAACTCCGGCAGCTCAGGAAAGCAAAGGAGTCTGCTTTCAGGGAGGGGGGCCGCAGCGGCTACAAAGCAGCTAAATATCAGTTCAGGAGAGAACTGAAAGCAGCCAAGTCCCGGCACAGAGAACGACTACAGGAGCAGTTTGGTAACAACGATACTGCTTCTGTCTGGAGGGGCCTACGGGAGATCACCAACTACAAACCCAAAGCCCCCCCCTGTGCTGACGACCACAAGCTAGCTGACGATCTGAACTTATTTTTCAGTCGCTTTGATGCTGCCCCTGACACCTCTCCCTCCCCCACCCCCCACTACTCTAACGACCCACCCATCAGCCCTGCCCCCAGCCTAACAATAGCCGCTAAAGAGATTAAACAACTCTTCCTGAGGCTGCACCCCCGCAAAGCTCCTGGCCCGGACCACGTGTCTCCGGCCACTCTGAGACACTGCCCCAGTGAGCTTACTCCTGTGTTCACGGACATTTTCAACACCTCTCTGCAGTCCTGCCATGTCCCGGCCTGCTTCAAATCCTCCATCATTGTCCCCGTCCCGAAGAAGTCCAGGATCACAGGACTCAATGACTACAGACCTGTAGCACTTACGTCTGTCGTCATGAAGTCATTTGAACGCCTGGTTCTCTCCCATCTCAAGTCCCTCACCTCCCCCCTCCTGGACCCCCTGCAGTTCGCCTACAGAGCCAACAGATCTGTAGACGACGCCATTAACCTGGCCCTCCACCACATCCTACAGCACCTGGACTCCCCGGGGACCTACGCCAGGGTCCTGTTCGTGGACTTCAGCTCTGCCTTCAACACAATCCTGCCATCCCTGCTCCAGGACAAGCTCTCCCAGCTCAACGTCCCGATTCCACCTGCAGGTGGATCACTGACTTCCTGACGGACAGGAAGCAGCGAGTGCATCTGGGGAAGAATGTCTCGGACTCTCGGATTATAAATACAGGAGCCCCACAGGGCTGTGTTCTTTCTCCCCTGCTCTTCTCCCTGTACACCAACCACTGCACCTCCAGCCACGACTCCGTGAAGCTGATCAAGTTCGCGGACGACACCACCCTCATTGGACTCATCTCCAACAACGATGAGTCCGCCTACAGGAGGGAGGTGGACCGGCTGGTGTCCTGGTGCAGTGGTAACAACCTGGAGCTGAACGCCCAGAAGACAGTGGAGATGATTGTGGACTTCAGGAAGAGCACTGTCCCCCCACCCCCACCCTCCGTGATGGACTCCCCCATCACCTCTGTGGAGTCCTTCCGTTTCCTGGGCACCACCATCACCCAGGACCTCAAGTGGGAGCCGACCATCAGCTCCCTCATCAAGAAGGCCCAGCAGAGGATGTACTTCCTGCGGCAGCTCAGGAAAGCCAAGCTGCCTGCACAGATGTTGGTGCAGTTCTACACGGCCATCATCAAGTCCATCCTCACCTCCTCCGTCACCGTGTGGTTCGCTGGAGCCACAGTCAGGGACAAACAGAGACTACAGCGCATTGTGCGCTCTGCAGAGGAAGTGATCGGCCGCAGCCTTCCATCGCTGCAGGACCTGTACGTCGCCCGAGCTCGAGGCCGGGCTGGTCGTATCACAGCCGACCCCTCTCACCCTGCACATGGACTATTCCAACCACTCCCCTCAGGCAGGAGGCTGCGGTCCATCAGGACTAGAACCTCCCGCCACAAGAACAGTTTCTTCCCCTCTGCTGTTGGACTCTTGAACACTTCTTAACCTGTCCCCCCGCCCTTTATAAAGTCACTTTACTGCCCATCATATGTCACTTTACTTCACTGTACTGCTGTCACCTTACATTGTGTGCACCATGTGCACTTGTATATTGTAAATAGTAACTGTAACTCTATTTTAAATTTAAATTTATTCTTTAGAAGTGTTTTTTATTCTTATTTTTATTATCTCTTTTTGACTGTTGCACTGAGCCAAAGCAATTTCCTAGTCTGTGACCTCCTGTTACTTATGTGGCAATAAAAATGATTCTGATTCTGATTCTGACATACACATACGCATACGGACACATAAGCATTCACACACACATACACATACGCACACACATACGCATACACACACACATACACACACACATACAAGATCTGATACTGTTGTGCTTCAGCTGATGACGTTCAGTCTGTGTCAACCCAAATGAAAGACTTATGATGATGATTTGACTGATTGTGGATCCGGGCCACATGTCCATTGTTTTTGTAATCAGAAATACATCTGCAGTAACATTGATAATAGAAAATACCAAATGATTTGTACATGTTCCCCTATTGTCCAGGGGAAATCCTAAATCTCACAAACTGTCCCATGTCTGATTCCCATACACCCCCACATGTGATGGCACCCACAAGAATCCTACACTCCCCCAGCTCTCTCCACTCTGAACAAGGTAGCCAGCAGCTCTGCGATGAGGTCAGGCCTGGCATTAGCTCCACCACTCTCCAAAGATTCCAGGACAGATGCTGAGTCTGAACATACTACGGTTTTCTCTTGCCTAATTTGCTCTATCCATTGCAAGGCCGCAATTATTCCCATCAGTTCTGCAGTAAACACAGAGACATCAGGGAGTCTTTTGAATTGCAGGATGTCATACTCTGGGACATAAAATACAACTCCAGTCTTTCTGGTCTCTGGATCTTTAGACCCATCTGTATACATTTGCAGAAATCCCTCCCATCTAGTACTTAGGGCCTGAGACACTGACCCCACGTAGTTGAAGCCTGCCATGATGGCCAACTGGTTTCCATTGGTCATACATATTGTGCTTCATTGTTGTCATTTCTCAACATACTGCTTCAGATTTGTTTATTTGTGTGTTTGCAGAAGTCTCTCCTGGGTGAGTCTCTCCTGGGACAGGACATTCGTGCTCAGGACATTTGGCTGGGCAAAGCAGAGGCGTGCCTCAGCATGGGGCTGTTCCCACAGGCCAGACACTTCCTGGAGGAAACTCACTCCGTGGCAACAGTGAGTCGGTTATGAAACAATATCAACCCCAGACTTTCAGATTAGACTTTCAAGTGCTGTTCTATTTTTCACTTTAGTCTCTTTCTGTTGAAGGTTCTATTTGAATCTATTCTAAAGATTTTTTTTAAAGTCTTTAGGCTATTCATTTATTTCAAAATAGCCTCAACTCTTTATTTATTCTTTTTTCTGGGATAAATGCTATTGCCCAGAGATGTCAAATACATCAGGGGGCTAAAAAAAGAAATGTTGCTACAAGCCGAGGGCCGGACTGGCTCAATGTTTATTAAAACATATTAAAGTGATTAACCTCTTGAACCAAGACCTAACACTGTGGACCATGTTTTATTTAATGATTTAATGAATAATCTTATAATGTAATAATATGGGGGCCAAGATAATACATTCTCAGGCCGGATCTGGCCCCCGGGCCTTGACTTTGACACCCAAGCTAAAGACAGAAAGACAAGTTTATTCATTCTGCCGTAGGAGAACTTCAGGTCTTCATAAGCAAAACACAACCATCGTACTCACACATACTGTAAAAGAAAATAAAACAGTTCCAAATGGATTCACAAATCTATAAAGCTATAACAAACAAGCACAGAAGTGACAGGAGCTACAGGGAGCTACAGGGAGCTACAGGCCAGAGAACGGTGTGGTCTGGGCTTCAGCAGTTTGTGTTGTGGTCTTGGCTTCAGCAGATTGTGTTGTGGTCTTGGCTTCAGCAGTTTGTGTTGTGGTCTTGGCTTCAGCAGTTTGTGTTGTGGTCTTGGCTTCAGCAGTTTGTGTTGTGGTCTTGGCTTCAGCAGTTTGTGTTGTGGTCTTGGCTTCAGCAGTTTGTGTTGTGGTCTTGGCTTCAGCAGTTTGTGTTGTGGTCTTGGCTTCAGCAGATTGTGTTGTGGTCTTGGCTTCAGCAGTTTGTGTTGTGGTCTTGGCTTCAGCAGTTTGTGTTGTGGTCTTGGCTTTAGGAGTTTGCAGATGGGATCAGCGTTGGCCGTAGTCTGGTTTGTCTGGCGGCTTTAGAGTGTGAGCGGAGGAGCAGTGCAGCTTTGATCCTGTTGGACGCCGCGGAGGACTATGGAGGAGACATGGACTTCTGGTACCAGCTGAGCCAGACCAGAGTCAAGGCAGCAGCCATTCAGCCAGACCAGCACGTGCACGCCAAGGTAAAATCTTAATTCCACCTCCTGAAAACTCTATTGTGTTTTTTTTGTACATTTTGAATTAAACAAAATATGAAAAGAAACAATCAGAGTTTTCATGTTTTCCTCTCATAAAAATAAAAACAAATTGTTGGTAATAAGTCGAAAATGAATAATATTGAGCGTTAAATAAAACAGCTGTTGCAAAGTGGACTGTTCTATTTCAGAATCAGAATTATTTTTGTTTCCTTTGTAAGTAACAGGAAGTCACAAACGAGGAAAAAGTTATGAATGTAAAGATAGATCTAAGTTATGCATTCACAATTTAAAGTATGTCTCTCGCTTCATAGCAAGAAAGTCCTGGGTTCGAATCCCGGTCAGGACAGGGCCTTTCTGAGTCAGGTCCTTTGCATGTTCTCCCTGTGTCTGTGTCGGTTTCCTCCAGGTGCTCCGGTTTCCCCTACCACTTAAAACATGTATGTAATGAATGAATGGAGGGTGTCTGGTCGGAGGCTTTGGGTGTGACCCTGGTTTGTGAAAATGCACTATTGAAACAAACATTACTTACTGCTATATCTACAAGTGCCTTAAGTACACATTAGCAGTGCAGTAAAGTGACAGTAGTATACGTATGAACCCTGTTGTGTTTTGATTGGTCTAAAATCAGTGTTTGTGCAGATCATGGACACAGTGAGACGAGGCTGTGAAGTTCTGGAGCAGAGCAAAGAGCAGCAGCTGAACAGAGCAAAGGAAATGGACTTTTTGATCACGTCACTAAAAATGAGGTACAATATTATTGACACACCCAATGGCAAAGCTCTAAACTTTGAATGGATGGATTTCAGAATCCGGACTTTTGCCACAATCACTGAAAACATATGTATTACACTATTTTTATTATTAAAAGCTGAAATGAACCTCATGACTAAAATTAGATGTAGGGGGGAAGGCAGGCTTATTCTAAAGACAGTACTAAATGCTGCAGCTCGGGCCCTGAGTATGACCACATTAGTCCAGTCCTCAGGTCTGGACTAATGTTCAGAGAATAAGTTTTCTTCCTGTGGCTTAGAGAATAGACTTTAAAACGACTCTGTTTCAAGTCTCTCCACTGGACTCCTCCTGGGACTCTGAGGAGCACAGGGACTGGCCTCCTCCTGGGACTCTGAGGAACACAGGGACTGGCCTCCTGCTGGGACTCTGAGGAGCAGAGGGACTGGCCTCCTGCTGGGACTCTGAGGAGCACAGGGACTGGCCTCCTGCTGGGACTCTGAGGAGCACAGGGACTGGCCTCCTGCTGGGACTCTGAGGAGCACAGGGACTGGCCTCCTGCTGGTCCCAGAGTCAGAACTAACCATGGGGTGGCTGCATTTCAGACACATGTTGCTAAAATCTTGAACAATCTTCTCTAAAATGTAAGACAGGCTTCTTCTCTGACAATATTTAAATCCAGGTTTAAAACAACTGGGGGATTTTATGTAATATACAGTGATTATTTATGATTTTTATGCTTTGTGTGACTGTGTTGTTCAGCACTTTGAGTTTCTTTGTAAATGTCCATCCATCCATCCATTTTCTACCCTTTAATCCATTTCTGGGTCAGGGGGGTGGCAGTCAGAGATGCCACCCAAGTCTCATAGCACCAGCCCCTCACTGACCCTCTGCAGGTGGTGAGTCCACAGGAGGACGGCTGCTCTCTGAGTGTGAGCATAGCCTTGATCTTTCAGTGGGAGCTTTGGGCAAAGTGGGGTTAAGTGTCTTGCCCAAGGACACAACGACAGCAGTCATCAGTGGGAGTCGGTGGAGAAGGTGTAGAGGTGGGAATTGAACCCACGACCTTCTGGCCTTAAGGCCAATGCTCTACCAACTGAGCTACTGTCGCCCTTCTTCTTTGTAAATGTAAAGCACAATTTTATACAAACTTCCCTAAATCTCCAGTCAATCAATTAAGACCTAACATCTCAACACATGTCATGGAGCATGTACAAAACTAACTTCAGAGACAGCTTGTTTCGTCTACTGTGCATGTTTGTTGTGCGTCTGTTGTAGAGGAGCTGTGGAGTGTGTTGTGTGTCTGTTTTAGAGGCGCTCTAGAGTGTGTTGTGTGTCTGTTGTAGGGGAGCTGTAGAGTGTGTTGTGTGTCTGTTGTAGGGGAGCTGTAGAGTGTGTTGTGTGTCTGTTGTAGAGGAGCTGTGGAGTGTGTTGTGTGTCTGTTGCAGGGGAGCTGTAGAGTGTGTTGTGTGTCTGTTGCAGGGGAGCTGTAGAGTGTGTTGTGTGTCTGTTGCAGGGGAGCTGTAGAGTGTTTTGTGTGTCTGTTGCAGGGGAGCTGTAGAGTGTGTTGTGTGTCTGTTGCAGAGGAGCTGTAGAGTGTGTTGTGTGTCTGTTGTAGGGGAGCTGTAGAGTGTGTTGTGTGTCTGTTGCAGGGGAGCTGTAGAGTGTGTTTTGTGTCTGTTGTAGAGGAGCTGTGGAGCGTGTTGTGTGTCTGTTGTAGAGGAGCTGTGGAGTGTGTTGTGTGTCTGTTGTAGAGGAGCTGTGGAGCGTGTTGTGTGTCTGTTTTAGAGCCGCTCTAGAGTGTGTTGTGCGTCTGATGTACTGTAGAGGCGCTGTAGAGTGTGTTGTGTGTCTGTTGTAGAGGAGCTGTGGAGCGTGTTGTGTGTCTGTTTTAGAGGCGCTCTAGAGTGTGTTGTGTGTCTGACGTAGAGGCGCTGTAGAGTGTGTTGTGTGTCTGTTGTAGGGGAGCTGTAGAGTGTGTTGTGTGACTGTTGCAGGGGAGCTGTAGAGTGTGTTGTGTGTCTGTTGCAGGGGAGCTGTAGAGTGTGTTGTGTGTCTGTTGCAGAGGAGCTGTAGAGTGTGTTGTGTGTCTGTTGTAGAGGAGCTGCAGAGTGTGTTGTGTGTCTGTTGTAGAGGCGCTGTAGAGTGTGTTGTGTGTCTGTTGCAGGGGAGCTGTAGAGTGTGTTGCTCTCTCGGCTGATGTGGAGCCCGGTCTCAGCCTTTGTCCTGAAGCAGCTCAAAGGTTAAAAAGTGACTGTGATAAACTGAAGCAGTGTTCCCGAGAGTTCAGCCTCCTCCATCACCAAGAGCAGGCAGCAGAAGCCCTGGCCCACTGCTCCCACACCCTCAGGTAGGAAGGGAAGAAATCATGATAACAATAGCTGTCTCTCACACTCACATCTTGGTAAACAGTCACCACGTGGAAGGACATACCATGCTTCTGCCAAATAGTCAAATTATGTCACCGAAACATGTCAAGTAATTAAGCAACACAAGCTTCTTTACACTCTGTCATATTCAAAGAACCTTCCCAGCTTTGAACCAAACTCTGTGTCATGGTGTGGCTTTTATTTTTGTACTTTGGTTTTATTTTGACATTGTTTTTCTGTGGTTTGGTTTTGAGTTTGACTTCTGTGCTGTTTCCCCTGTCTTGATTGTCTGCCCCGCCCTGATGTGTTTCACCTGTGCCCCTCTCCACATGTTGCTGGTCCATTGTTATGTCAATGTTTTGTTTTCGTTGTGTCAAGTTCTGCCTTTGTTCCTGGTTCTGTATTCTTGGATTTTGACACTGTGGGTTCAAAGCTGCCGTATTTTCCAGACTATAAGCCGCACCTGTCCCACATTGTAATATTCAAATATGTAGCTCAAAAACCTTATACTGTGAGTAATATGAGTGAGAAGTGAGTCACTGACTGTTCTGAATCCTCAGTATGAAGCAGAAAGATGAGGAGCAACATCTACTGGTCTATTTTCACATTTATTCCTATACAAGGAACTAAAAAAGGTTTAAAAGTCCTCACTTATAATATCTTTGAGTAGTTTTTTGAACAGCTTGAATGACAAATCTTACAGTTTAATTGGACCTCTGCGTACCACTCATCAATTCTGTTAGTCGTTTGCCACGGAAAAAAATAAACAAATTGAGCAGCACCTTACTATAAGCCAGTCTTCAAAAAAAGTTTATAATCCGGACTTTACGGTATTTGACAAAGTTTTATTGAAGCCACTTTCAATCTAAAATGAAAAGACATGCTGTAAATAAATGGGAAAGTGCTATTCCTCCTGAATCTGGATGCGGTCTTGATCTTCTGTCTCCTCTGCTCAGGTTTTTAGCTTCACGCAGCTCAGACACAGAGGAGAAACAGCGCCTCCTGCTGGACGCTCTGTCACAGATGCAGGCGGCAGTGAGTGCATTGGAACATGTGTCTCTGAGTGCACAGAGTCTGCTCCCGACGCAGGACCAGGTACGAGTCACTGCGGCCTGTTCAGTCCCTCATCAAGGACATGTGGCTGTCGGGTTTGGCCTGTTCTATTTGGATTTTAATGCTTTCCAACAATCTGTAGTGTCCCCACCTCAGTAGATGTGAAGATGCTCAATCATTAAAGCTGGAGTAGGCCTAACTAACTTTAAAACCACAACCAATACCACACACATGTATCAAGCCTCTGTCACATCTGTAGATTGTAGGATCCAGCCCTCACTCAGTGTATGAAAGATAAAGGAAGCATGTTTTAGAGAATCTCACTTAAATCTCCTGTTGAGACAAACTAAACAAAAGTAAATGTATATGAAAGGACTGATCTAGATTATATTATATTTGTAAATAAAAGTCTCTGAAATAACCACAAACACAGATGATGGTTTTTGTGATGTAAAAGTCTCTGGAGGTTGCTGTACAGCTTCCGTCAGCAGAGGGCGCTGCTGTCATTCTGTGGATCTTATACTCTTCAGTGTTTTTCCACTTTACTCTTTATTTTTATTTTGTTGTTATTATATTGTGTCAAAGCCAAAGCCTTTGACTTTGGTGTAAAACTAGTAGAATGATCTGAGAACAAGTAAAGTTAATATAATCCGTGTGTTGTTCTTGGTGCTTCTCAAAGTGGGGTTCAGGATATCGGGAGTTATTGTGCACTGAGCTGCGGGGTCACAATGATTTCATGATATTATTTATCACAATATGACTTAATAACGAATAAATCTGGGGTACCTAACTTTCAAAACAAAAATAAGTTAACTTTGTGAAATCTTTTTAACTCCTCGTTTTCAAAACAGTTCCATGTTTCACTCGCATTTTGGCCCTTGTCACATCTTAGAACATTTAGACAGAAACGTCCTAAAGTATCAAACAGTGACTAAATCAAGATCTTTCTCATTTTTTACACATTATGTTCTAATAAAACGACAGCATGTGGCGGGTTGATTTGTTCACACATTGTGTAATTATGGGTAAAAGGAGAAACTGATGTAAAACTGTGTTTTAGTGAAATGACAAACGGTGAAGACTTAATCATTCATTCATTTTTTCATTTTCTTCCCCTTAATCCTGAAGGAGGATAAATAAGCAACAGTGAATAAATGTGTTTGAGCAAAATAATGTACTTCATTTTCACATGTAGTGATCAAGTTACAATAATACTGGCCCCCGCTGTGGGAGACATCATTGACCATCACACATTGTCTGCCCTTTGTCACAGAGCCCTGTGGTGTCGCTGCCTGTGCTGATGCGGCTGCTGCGGCGGCGGTTAGACCTGTGTGAGCTTTCTCTCCTCATGTTGGAAGAACACTGCACTGAGAAAACACGCCAGGTTCTGGAACGCACTCATAAGTCATCTGCAGAGGTGCTTCTGGAGGACTTCACCCGCTGCTCTCCGGAGCCCGACTCCATCCGTCAGGTCAGTGCAGGAGGTGGAGGAGGTTATCATGTCTGTGTTGAATTTACAAAACACCTGAAAGATACTAAAGTACATCCACAAATCAAAATTCATGACAATAAACCAGTTTCTATAACCATTAGATTGTCTCCATTGTACTATATCTTTTGTTTTCCACCACATGAACTCACCCAAGTACCAGAAGCCTGACCATGTTTATAAAGCAACACGGCTGTGAATGTTAAATTTACACAACACGCAGGCTTTGCTATTGCTCATTTATTATTAATAGATTAGATCGGGCAACAACTACAATCTAAACCATGCCCATCAGTGCGTGAATGAATTGCATATTGCTAATATATTGTTTTCTCCAGTCTATTTTCCTGTAGCTTTCCTCCGCTCCTTGCTACAGTCTTCTGTTTTCCTCATCTTTTCTCTTAACAAAACCACTTCAATTCAATCTATTCCTACTTCTGACGAAACGCAGATAGAGATCTTTCCAATATATTTCAAGATGGAACTGAAAACTTACCCAAAACGCTCAATATGTCTGAATTTTATTAAAGTCGAATGCATGTCTTAAGCTGGAGTTGTGTAACTGCGGCTATAGCACACGCCTGGCCTGACCTTTTCCCCCCCTCTGTCCTGGTTAGGCCTGGCTGAATGTGGGCACTACCCTTGGGCAGGTGGCACTGGGCCAGCTGGCCTCAGTCAGCTCTCACTACCTGAACAGCCCTGGGACCAGAGCACGCAGCCTCTGTCTAATGGGGAAGTATCTGAGGCTGCAGGCCACGATGGAAGACCCCGTTTATGCCTCCGCCCTCTGGGACCCTCACAAGCAGGTAGGGCCCCCGTGAATAATGCTGTCTCATAACACTTGAATAACATAGTCCCAATGGTTTTCAGTAAAACAACAGTTGGGCCTCTTTAGCTCCAACCCTTATCTCCTTTGGGAATGCTTTGGCCTTTTCTATAAATATTTCCAGACGTGTTTGCTTGTCCTCCTCAGATTACTCCCTGTATTGAGGACTGTATGAATTTCTTCTCGCCTTTGTTGTTTTATTCTGTTTCATTGAAAGGCAATAAATAGTAAATCCCGTCTGTCAAAAGGCTCAAAATCACACTCACTTCTAAAATATCTCAAATCAGTTGCATTTTCACACAATATTTGCAGCTTTATTGAGAGAGACATTAAGCTAGCTGATTTTGACAGTAATAAAGTTGAAGAATCCGAATACATCAATTGTTTTGTGGCACAGTTAAAGCTGCAGTACAAATGAATAAGATGAGACATTTAAACGCACTGCACAGGACTGTAGAGGAGCTGAGGAGCTCCTCCAGTGGAAGACTGAGACACCCTCAGTGTAAGAAGGAGCAGGGCCTTTATCCCCACCGCTGTCAGACTGTACAACAAGTCACTTTTAAGTCACTGCACTATGACTGAAAAGAAACCTGCACTACTACTGACATTCTACATAATATCCTGCATTAACATGCTGCACATTTCTTACTTTTGCACAATTCTTGAGTGTTCCTGTCCTTGCCAATGTGACATGTACATTTCTCCTGTGTGAGATTACTAAAGTCTTTTATTATATGACTTGGACCGTACGTGCGCTCTGATTGGCTGATGACCGGTCTGATATTTTCCCATCTCGGACCGTTACCATGACAATTGGTCCGAACAGCGCGTATCACATTTGATATCTTTCCTCAGACCGTTACCATGACAATCTGTCCACAGAGTGATAGTAGTGATAGAACACTTGGTTCTATCACTACTATTCACATTCATATTTTTGGCCTGGTTTTAGATCTTTTCTTTTTCAGATAGATAGATACAAAGAAGAAAATACTGAGTCCAGTAGCAGCAAAAACTCATCCATCCAAACAAACAAAACAAATAAATTGATCAATTTAAAAAGCTAACAATAGTTATAGTAACAATAAGAAACTAGTCTTAAACAGAGATGAAGTTAACAACAGTTGGTTGAGCAAAAGTCTCTGAACGTAATAGTCGTGGGCCAAATCTTTTGCCACCCCCCGACCCAGAAATAGAATAATAAAGTGACATAACACATAGTTAACTTTCTAAATGTAAGTCCTCTCCGGTTCAGAGAATGTAGAGAATTTCTACACTAATAAACCTTAGCTTTAGACTGCCCTAAGTCTCTTCTATATTGGCTGAAGAGTCACACAGGAGAATCTTACACAACTGAATGATTCTTCTAGTCCGTTCATAACTATAAAAATGTGTCTCTTAAGCCTGGATACAATAAGCCATTGAGCCATGTAAGCATGTTGTACAGACAGCAATTATGGGAGAAATCTAACGGAATTCCAGCACAGACTTGTTGCTGGCACATGCTACCGGCCACACTCTCACTCTCTTCCCATAAGCCCCAATGCCCCAGTAACCTGTAAAGCACACAGGCTTATGGCCATTACACGGAGATATTGTCAGGCTGAATATTTACTACAGAGGGGCTTACTTCCTCATGGTGTGTGATCACAAGCAGAGTTTTATAATAATTACACCTTTGTTCTGTTATTTTGCAAACATTCCACACTGAAGGAAGCTTCCACCGACCCAACAGTGGCAGGTGCCGAGCAAGACGCTTCAGAGAAAGAAAAGAGAAGTGCCAAAAAGACAAGAGTGACCTCAGCCAAGAGCCCTGATCAGCAGGTACAAACTGTGTGGCTATCAATAGAACCCTGTCATTAATTACTTGTAAATCTCCTTCACACTAAGACAGACTCCTTCTAAAAAGTTGTCATTTAAATTGCGCAGCATGCATGTGTGCCCTTCGTCTCCTTGAAACGCTCCTCGTTGGTTTTAGCGTCCATACACATTCAAATTGCTTTTTCCATTATGCAGAAAAACTGTTCATGTATGTATTCATTTATTAGCCTTGTTCCAATGCTGCTCGGAGGCCTGCAGTGTTGACAATTATACGTAAAAATAATGTCTGGACTTTATGGACTTGCATCCTATTTTCTACAATGACTTCATAACTTTCAGGGCCCAGAGGCGGCTGACACCAAAGCAAACCGCTGCTGTTTCTTGGCCCATAAAACACTTTTATTTATAGATTTATAAAGTATATATGAACCAATCTGCTGGGATACCTAACTTTTAAAACACCAAAAAGATAATTCCACTGGTTCCTAGCTTTCAAAACAGTTTGGTTCTATCTGTATTTTGCTTCGTGTGTTTCTGCTTTTGTCATGTCTTTATTTGACATTTCTGTGGCCAAAATCCAATAAAGAGAGGACCACTCAGTTCATCAGCTCAAAGTGGAAAGGGCTCTTTTTTGAAATATAATGCAAAAGTTACAATGTTTTCTGAAAAAGAGCGATAGTCTCAGAGAACCACACACTTTGATAACAGTTTATTCGCTTAATAGGTTTTTTTTCTACGGCCTTTGCTGCATTTTTGGTAAAATAAATAAACATAAAAGTCTTAAATCAGCACTGCTAAACCATCACTGAGCCTGAATTGGATTAAGCCATGACTAATTAGTATTTACAGAGAATGAAACTAAACCAAGACCAGACTCGTAAACAAGAGAAAACGCATTTATTTATTCACGTGATGGGTTGGATCAAGTTGTTGGGGCGGAATTTGACCCTTGACCATACGTCGACAGGACTGCTCAGTCTTTAACAAATATTTGCAACAGTGCACAACGTTTGGAAAGGCCTACACTCAGGCTTAGCTTTTTCACACCTTTTGTCTCATAAAGAGTACCTTCCAAGCTCTAAATATAAGAAATAAAGAAAAATACATTTTGGACATTTTTTAATTCCCTTGTTCCAACAAGTGGGGCGGGTCCCGGCTCCATGAGCACGTGCTCTGGGGGTGTACCCGGAAAGAGAATTACCCAATGCTTTTGATTAGCATCTTCTTTTCTTTCAAAAACAGTTTTCATGGGATGGTCCAAAAGTGGCTCTTGGTCCAAAAGTGGTTCTTGGTCCAAAAGCGGCTCTTGGTCCAAAAGTGGCTCTTGGTCCAAACATGGCTCTTGGTCCAAAAGCGGCTCTTGGTCCAAAAGTGGCTCTTGGTCCAAAATTGGTTCTTGGTCCAAAAGCGGCTCTTGGTCCAAACATGGCTCTTGGTCCGAAAGTTGCTCTTGGTCCAAAGCTATGTTCCAGATGCAGTCGATGCTGGGGAGAGATTTTTTTTTTTTTTGGACCAGTCTAGTTTAGTTGTTGTGGACTTTTGAATTCACTCCTTAAATGAATGAGGCTAGTGCAGCTACCGCATGCCCTATAATGCATTTTTTCTCATGTTCTTGCCCCGCGCCCATTTTGAAAAAGCCACAGAAGGCAAAAGTGGGGACACATGAGTTTCAACAGCGGAGATTGAAGTGACTACTGTACGTCTTTAAAGCTGCACTAACTGACTTTGGGATTTTGAAGCCGCGGACCCGCTGGCCTCTCTCTTTCTGCTCCCCTCCCCGCACCCACGAAGCTATCGCCCCCCACACACACCCACTGTTGGGACGGAGCTAGTGTCTCTCAATATGGATAATACATGGATATGGATTTGCACGTGGATGCCGTGACCATAGAACGATAGAACCGGGAAGCGCGGAGGAACGGGACTTTCTTTTGGATGGCTGTCTCGCTGTGTAAGCAGTAACCGGTGACGAAGACACGAAGCTTCAGGTTAGCTCCTCGGCTTGTTGTGCTAACTCAGCTGTCTATGCTAACGGACCTGTAGATTTCTCACGAAAGTGGGGGCTATTGGTCCGCTGTGATTGGTCACAATCTGCGACCCGAAACACATTCTCTTCCTTGTTTCATCAAAACTCGATCTAAAATATAATGTCACGCCAGCACAAATCTGCGCTAATTATTCTTCAAAAGGACGTATATCCCAATGCACTACATGGACATGGATAGCATTTTCGTAATGAATACGAAAATAAAGTCAGTTAGTGCAGCTTTAATACTTATGGTTCAAACACACATGCACTCTGTCTCACATATACCCCCCACTGAACCAGCCCCTGTAGGGATTGTAAACATATTTTTGTAACTTGTTTAATTCTCTCTCTCTCTTTCTCTCTCTCTCTCTCGCTCTCTCCTTCTTCTTTCTCTCTGTCTTATATTTGTGAAATTAAAGATGCCGGAAGCACAGCACTTATTGGCTGAAGCGAGTAAGTCCCTGTCAGAGGCCTCGAGTGTGTGTCTTCAGAAGCAGCTGTCTCCTGCGCTGCTGACTGAAGTGTGTGTGAACATGGTGGAGGCCGTGGGTCTGTCGCAGCCCAGCGTCACCGGACAATACCTGGCTCTGCTGCAGGTGCTCTCACTGTCACAACTGTCTTATGTCAAATCAAAGTGCTTATAAAAACAATAATAATAATAATGCCTTAGTTTTAATATAGCACCTTTTCACTCCTTACACGGTGGTGAGGAGCTTCTACTTTAGCCACAGCTGCCCTGGGGCACAGAAGTGAGGCAACCATTATATGTCATCCACCCCTCCTACCATCACTGACAATTCACGCACACTCCAGACTCATTCTAGGCAATGTGCCCCACTGTGGCTCCCAGAGGTCTCCCATCACAGTACAAACCAGGCCCTGCCCTGCTTAGCTACCGAGGTCAGAGGCCAGGGATCTGACTTTCACCTGCAGTAAAAGAGACACCTCAAACTGCTCAGACACATTACACAATTACAGTATTAGATATCAGATTTACACAGCTAAAATCTGGAATAGTCTTCCTGAAAATGTGAGACAGGCTTCTTCTCTGACATTGTTTAAATCCAAAAAAGAGTTCTGTTCAGCTTTAGATACAACTGAGGGTCTGTGTCTTTAGCACTTTGAGTTTCCTTGTGTATGAATTGTTCTATACATTTAAACTTGCCTTGCCTTTTGTGACTGTTATGATTCATTAAGCTGGGTAGAACAAAACACACTTTTCAGACTGCTTCACTGTGGATCTACAGTGTCAGCCATGATCAAAATTCTTCTTGGGCTGTAGTTCTTCACCTTTTTTTCCCACCTTTTGATTTCTATGAAACGTTGATGTTTGGTGTGATCTATGCTCTTTTAGACCTGCTGCAATTTCCAATGCCAAAGCCGTAATTAGGGTGGGTGCAAAGTTTGTTCTCCACTTTCCTATTGAGAGTGATAAAACATGTGTTTCATCACATCAGAGTGATAGAATATGTGTTTATCACTCTGATGTGGTGCTTTGAGTGAGCTCCTTTCTCAAAGATTTGGGGTCAGGGCATGCTTGTTAACAATTCTCCGGTTTTGTCTTTGGAGCTTGCGAATGGGAACCAGTGTCTTTTCTGTTTTCTTGCTTCAATGTACTGTATTTTTTCCCCCTCCCTCTCTCTTTTCTTACTTATTCTGCTCACACATAACACATTTCCATTTGTTACCTCACCCCAGAGCTGCCACTCCATCGGCCTCACGTCCAAGGTCCTGGCTGCTGCCTGTAGTGACTCTCGGGACGCGGCTCTCTTCTCTCGGCTCCACAAAAACCCTCTCCTGTCCCGTGACGAGGGCCCCGCCAACCCCCTGCAGGCGGCTCAGAACACTCACCACTCCGTCTCCAAGGTACCGGCCTCCACTCCTTGCTTGTGATTAATACACGCTGTCACTGGCTACTCTCTGAGCTCCAGGGATGGCACATGCAATGCTAAGGTCTCTGCCCCAAATGTGCTGTGGGGATTTTAACCTGCAGTCGGCTCGGGACACTGAGGAGTAGTTAGGCTCGAGAATGAGAAACAGAAAGAGAATCATGTTGCAACAATGCACACAGGTCCAAGAAATTCACCTCCCACTAAAGGTTAGGTATGAGTAGCATTTCAACATGACGTTCACCTCTTGAATTTAAATATTCTACAAACTCCAATGGTTGCAATCAAACAGTTGTGTCCATCCTCCATCCTCCATACATGTCTATCCTCCATACAGTACACGTCTATCCTCCATACACGTCTATCCTCCATACACGTCTATCCTCCATACTGTACATGTCTATCCTCCATACATGTCTATCCTCCATACAGTACATGTCTATCCTCCATACTGTACACGTCTATCCTCCATACTGTACATGTCTATCCTCCATACATGTCTATCCTCCATACTGTACATGTCTATCCTCCATACATGTCTATCCTCCATACAGTACATGTCTATCCTCCATACTGTACATGTCTATCCTCCATACATGTCTATCCTCCATACATGTCTATCCTCCATACAGTACACGTCTATCCTCCATACACGTCTATCCTCCATACACGTCTATCCTCCATACTGTACATGTCTATCCTCCATACATGTCTATCCTCCATACAGTACATGTCTATCCTCCATACTGTACATGTCTATCCTCCATACATGTCTATCCTCCATACATGTCTATCCTCCATACATGTCTATCCTCCATACATACTCCACACATAAGGGCATGAAGCAGGCATGACGTTTGCTTAGAACGGCTCTATGGTAAAGAAAGTTGTCATAAAGTCAATGACATTGTTAATGTTTCTGTAATTTCCAGGCCTTTTCTCATTTGTCCTTGAACCCGAGTCACATGACCCTGCTCTCAGATCTGCCTCCAAACATGAAGCTTCTCCTGCTGCAGCACTCCCAGGACAGGTGATCCACTACAATCCTTATTTTTTACCTTTGGGCTATAAATACTGGCCCTGGCCCGCCCTGTCACTGCTGTGATGTATGAGTATGCATAAGGACATACAAAGCACTTTCTGGACCCTATATTTGTACATGTCTACACCAGGTTTCGTAACTGCATATGTTTGACTCTTTACAGGACGGCACTTTATGGGGCTTTCTATGAAGTGAAAACTCAAAAAGGCAAAACGACTCAAACTAAAGGTTAGAAATAATGCACTTTTCTTACATTGATCTCCAAACACAGTGGCAACTAATGTAGCCACAGCTGCCCTGGGGCAAGTCATACCCTCACCAATAATCTTCTATGACAATGTAATCTTATAAACCCAGAGCCTGACTGAAAATGTTATGTTACTGTATTATCATTTCAAATGGTATTTTTGTTCCCACATATTTGGTTTTATTGGGTGACATACCACACTAGAATTCACACGAGTTTTGCAAATCTCTGTAAATGTCAGCATTTTTAAATCATTTGTCCAATTGAGATTTTTGCCAGGAAACATAAGCCTAAGATTATGTAACGTAAATTCTGGACTATAAACTGCTGCTTTTTTTCTTGCATTTTGAACACGGCGGCTTATAGTAAAGGTGTGGCTTAATTATTATTTTATGTAAATGAATGAGTGCGACTCGGGAGCCGGACTCGGGAGCCGGACTCGGGAGCCGGACTCGGGAGCCGGACCCGGGAGCCGGACCCGGGAGCCGGACCCGGGAGCCGGACCCGGGAGCCGGACCCGGGAGCCGGACCCGGGAGCCGGACTCGGGAGCCGGAGTCCGGCTCCGGAGTCGGGATTCGCTGTTTCGATTTGTCAATCACCTCCTGGATTTTAGTATTATTGTTATTTTTATTATTCTTGACAACAAAGAGCATATCTATTGTGTATTGTTTTCCCTGTTTTGATGAAAATATTTAATATCCATTTTAAATACAAAGAAAACATGCTTTTGGTCATGAGGTAATCGTCACAGATGTGGACCCGGTGTAAACTGGCCTGCTACACCTGTAGTTTCACTTCCTCTCGAGGAGGAAAGAGACAGATCGCTCTTTATCCAAAACTTGAAGGAATCAATGAAAAAACTAGTCTGAGCAAATAGTGTTTCTGAGGCCAAATAGCTGTAATCATGTTTAAAGCAGAGAAAAGTCAAAAAGCGTTATATGGGGCCTTTAAGTCCTCACTAATAACAGCTTCGTTGGTTCTTTGAATAGACATTTAAAGTGAAAAGAGACCAGTAGATGTTTCTGCTTCACTCTGAAGATTAAAAACAGTCGGTGCCTCTCTCTCATTACTCACAGTAATGACAGACCATGATGGACGTTTTTGAGCTACATTCTTTAATATTACAATGTGGGACAGGTGGGGCTACTACTACAACAAGTAGTCATTATATTAGTGTCATTAAAGTACTGAAACACAAACTTGACACGGATTTAGCGCCACTTCAGTTTCTGTTTGTGAAGCACGTTGTGACCTTGAAACTGTTTATTATGATGTGGTTAGCATTTGCAAAGCCCTGACTGAACTCGGCCTCGTATTCTTTCTTGAGGGCAGCAGAAAGTTCCGTTTTAATGAAGACAAAGAATGGAGTTGCCACCCTGAAAGTGTAAACAAAATGACCTCAGCAGCTGCCTTGGCTTTGAACAATTGACCCGCAAACAACACCAACCAGAAATGAAGATGGACTACCCACCCGCGTGGTTTTTGACCTTTAATCTAGTCTAACATGATGCACGAACGCGACCGGATCAGATTTGGAGTCATTATGCAAGAATGAAATGGAAAAGGCGGCGGTGAGAAACAAGATAAGACAGAAACTCTGGGAAAGACTGATGTGGTCGGAGCTCAGCGGGACCAATTACAAACCACTACTGTACCTGTGTGTGTATTCATTGTTGTTATTGTGTGTCCATCTTGGTTTTAGGTCTGACGTGTTCAAAGGTTGCCAAGGTGACTGTCTGCCCCAGGACTCTGCTCTCTCTGCTGGACCAAGTTCAGACCCTGGACCAAGAGATCTGCCAAGTGCGACTACAGGAGGCCTCCCACCGGGCCGCTGGGGGCAGGGTGGGGGTCCATGTCTTCATTCACATATTTCTGTAGAAGGACGGATGTTTTAATCACAAAACCATGACTGGATTGTCGTGTGGTGAGAAAGAGGAGGGGTCACAAAGTAGAAGAGCAAAACAATGATTTCATAAAGATGGTAAAATAAATGCACAGGATCCAAAGAAAAGTCAGGAGAAAATACACTGGACCACCAACAAGGGGAGAGGAGCACAGGTACACACAGACACAGGTACATATATACACAGAGAGACAGGTACATACAGACACAGGTACAGATAGACACAGGTACATATATACACAAAGACACAGGTACATACAGACACAGGTACATACAGACACAGATACATACAGACACAGGTACATATATACACAGAGAGACAGGTACACACAGGTACATACAGACACAGGTACAGATAGACACAGGTACATATATACACAAAGACACAGGTACATACAGACACAGGTACATACAGACACAGGTACAGATAGACACAGGTACACAGGTACATACAGACACAGGTACATACAGACACAGGTACAGATAGACACAGGTACAGATAGACACAGGTACATACAGACACAGGTACATACAGACACAGGTACATACAGACACAGGTACAGATAGACACAGGTACAGATAGACACAGGTACAGATAGACACAGGTACATACAGACACAGGTACATACAGACACAGGTACAGATAGACACTGGTACATACAGACACAGGTACAGATAGACACAGGTACATACAGACACAGGTACAGATAGACACTGGCACATACAGACACTGGTACATACAGACACAGGTACACACAGACACAGGTACATACAGACACAGGTACATACAGACACAGGTACATACAGACACAGGTACATACAGACACGGGTACATACAGACACGGGTACAGACAGACACAGGTACAGACAGACACAGGTACAGATAAACACAGGTACATACAGACACAGGTACAGATAGACACAGGTACATACAGACACAGGTACTTACAGACACAGGTACACAGGTACATACAGACACAGGTACAGACAGACACAGGTACATACAGACACAGGTACATACAGACACAGGTACATACAGACACAGGTACATACAGACACAGGTACATACAGACACAGGTACATACAGACACGGGTACAGACAGACACAGGTACAGACAGACACAGGTACAGATAAACACAGGTACATACAGACACAGGTACAGATAGACACAGGTACAGATAGACACAGGTACATACAGACACAGGTACTTACAGACACAGGTACACAGGTACATACAGACACAGGTACATACAGACACAGGTACAGATAGACACAGGTACATACAGACACAGGTACATACAGACACAGGTACATACAGACACAGGTACATACAGACACAGGTACATACAGACACAGGTACATACAGACACAGGTACAGATAGACACTGGTACATACAGACACAGGTACAGATAGACACAGGTACATACAGACACAGGTACAGATAGACACAGGTACATACAGACACAGGTACTTACAGACACAGGTACACAGGTACATACAGACACAGGTACATACAGACACAGGTACAGATAGACACAGGTACATACAGACACAGGTACAGATAGACACTGGCACATACAGACACAGGTACATACAGACACAGGTACACACAGACACAGATACATACAGACACAGGTACATACAGACACAGGTACATACAGACACAGGTACATACAGACACGGGTACAGACAGACACAGGTACAGACAGACACAGGTACAGACAGACACAGGTACAGACAGACACAGGTACAGATAAACACAGGTACATACAGACACAGGTACAGATAGACACAGGTAAATACAGACACAGGTACTTACAGACACAGGTACACAGGTACATACAGACACAGGTACATACAGACACAGGTACATACAGACACAGGTACATACAGACACAGGTACATACAGACACAGGTACATACAGACACAGGTACAGATAGACACAGGTACATACAGACACAGGTACATACAGACACAGGTACAGACAGACACAGGTACATACAGACACAGGTACAGACAGACACAGGTACATACAGACACAGGTACATACAGACACAGGTACATACAGACACAGGTACATACAGACACAGGTACATACAGACACAGGTACATACAGACACAGGTACATACAGACACAGGTACATACAGACACTGGTACATACAGACACTGGTACATACAGACACAGACAAACACAGGTACATACAGACACAGGTACATACAGACACAGGTACATACAGCCACAGGTACAGATAGACATAGGTACATACAGACACAGGTACAGATAGACACAGGTACAGATAGACACAGGTACATACAGACACAGGTACATTTAGACACAGGTACAGACAGATACAGGTACATACAGACACAGGTACATACAGACACAGGTACAGATAGACACAGGTACAGATAGACACAGGTACATACAGACACAGGTACATACAGACACAGGTACATATAGACACAGGTACATACAGACACAGGTACATACAGACACAGGTACATACAGACACAGGTACATACAGACACAGGTACATATAGACACAGGTACATACAGACACAGGTACAGGACACTAGTAAATCTGTCGCGAGAATGCTTTTCATTGATTATAGCTCTGCTTTTAATTGTCTTGTCCCAAGCATATTGGTTGAAAAACTTATGTCCTTACACACAGGTACATACAGACACAGGTACAGATAGACACAGGTACATACAGACACAGGTGAAACACATGAGGGCGGGGCAGGTAATCAGGACAGAAGGCAAAACAAAGTACAAAAATCAAATCCACTCCATGACATTGATAACATTTAGTTAAGTCAGGGTTTGGTTAGTTAGGTTTTAGCTTTGATTTTAACCACTTCAATCAGCTTTTCAAGCATAAATCACAAACATTAAAAAATACAATTAAAATCCCACAGGAAAGAATAAATATTAAAGACATAAACTATAAAATCACACAAGTTATTAACATTAACAGGTTACCAGGAGTTTTTAGATCCATCCCGCTAATTTTAGATATTTTAGATATTTGATCTATATTTGAGCTCTACAACACTACAGTCACTTTTCTGACTTTTAAAAAAGAAAAGTATTTCTCCTTCATAATTTCTTTTGAATCGCAGCCGGTCCTTTTCAAATGTAAATTATCCATCCATTTCCTTCTCAGGCCAATGCTCCACCAACTGAGCCACTGTTGCCCCAAATGTAATGGCCAAAAAGAATGCATTATATGTTGTCTTGAAACTGGGGAAGAAAACTAAATGGTGACAGCTCTGTCAATCAATCATTCATTCACTTATTCGTATAGCGCAATTTGTGTACAAGGCAATCCAAAGTGCGTTGGTGCACGGTGGCTGAGTGGTTAGCACTCTCGCGTCTCAGCAAGAAAGTCCTGGGTTCGAATCCCGGTCGGAACAGGGCCTTTCTGAGTGGAGTTTGCATGTTCTCCCTGTGTCTGTGTAGGTTTCCTCCGGGTACTCCGGTTTCCCCTACCACTAAAAACATGTACAATATGTCCTGTACTGGCCCCGCTCCCATCTCTGTGTGGAGTGAGAGACAAGTGCCCAAAAATAACAATTGTAAAACCGCTTTGTGACTCTGGTCTGTGAAAGGCGGTATATAAATAAAGATTACTTACTTACTTACTTACTTGCTCCCAACTGTAAACCGCTTTGACTCTGGTCTGTGAAAGGCGCTATATAGATAAAGATGACTTACTTACTTCACAGAGCAAGTAGAAAACACATCAAAATGCATTAAAAAGTCGATTAAATAAGTAAAGTGTTTCTAAGCTCATCAGCGTCCTCCTCCCACAGACATTTCTTCTTCTCTTGTCCTATATCGGCGGCACTAGTTAAATTACACGGAGTCTGCTTAAGTGATACAAAGTGCCTAATGTCCTGGCTTCTTCTCCATAACAAGATTAAGCTAAGAAGTTAAAAATAGAACTAATTCACTCAAAACAATACAAGTAAATCAAAGTAAACTAAAAGAAAACAAAGAAATCTAACCGGGAAATGTAGCTGAAACTTAGATCTTACACACAGTCTTTATACAATGTGGTATTTAACTATTTCTATGTCTTTTTGTTTTGTTTTTGATAGAGCTCAGCAGAACTAGCGTCTCTCTTCAGGGAGTTGGTTCATCAAATGGAAGTCTATCTGGATCCACTTCTCTCACAGTTTGACTTCAGCTGCTTCAGGTTTGTCCTCTGACTTCACTGAAGAAATGTTGGAAGTTTCCATTTTAAAAAGTTGCACTTTTTTGTGTTTTAAACTTAACTTTTTTATTATTTTAACATTTATGGAGATTGGTCTCTGCCCCTTGTGCATCAATGGCTCTATGTGTTTTTTATCATGTTGGCAAATTCAACGGTTTTGTTAAAGGAGCAGTTTGTAAGAATGTGGCCAAAAGTGGTTCTGCAGCCTCTCCCACTCTCCCTGACTCAGGTTGCCAGATATGCAGACGAATCCAGCTGGGACCATAACAGCTGAATAGACAAGAGTTTTGTCAACAACAAATCTATAACCAACACCTTTTTCACAAAGATAGAAATCCTGCTTTTATTACTTGTTTTGTCGTTAATGATTTGAGAATCATAACGAGACCTTTTTTAGTTCTGCGCCACATGGTACTTTACCAGTGAGATTATCTCGACTCCGTGAGTTCTGGCGCCCGGATCACAGACTTTCTGATTGGTGAAACGGTGGAGGGCGGGACATCGAAATGAAAACAATAACAAGATTTAGAGTCAGGGAAAGTAATTTAGAAATTCAAATATCTCTGAACTACTGTTATCAGTTAAAGAAGTATTGGAAAAGAGCAGTTTATTATTATGACAGATTAGGGCCCTTTAATGATGAAGGTTTAGGCCCTTTAAAATTACATATTAGAGCCCTTTAATTATGACAGATTAGGGCCCTTTAATGATGACAGATTAGGGCCCTTTAATTATGACAGATTAGGACCCTTTAATTATGACAGATTAGGGCCCTTTAATGATGACAGATTAGGGCCCTTTAATTATGACAGATTAGGGCCCTTTAATTATGACAGATTAGGGCCCTTTAATTATGACAGATTAGGGCCCTTTAATGATGACAGATTAGGGTCCTTTAATGATGACAGATTAGGGCCCTTTTGTTATGACAGATTAGGGCCCTTTTGTTATGACAGATTAGGGCCCTTTGGTTATGATAGATTAGGGCTACATTAAGTCATCCAAGAAAACTACTGCTGTGATTTAGGGCGATACAAGAACACATTGCATTGAATTTTAGCTGAAACCGTGAAACAAGCACATAGCATGGACAAAGCTACAGCATCTTCAATGTTTAATGATTCATTGTCAGTCCCAGAGCTGCACATTCCATGAGCTGCACAAGTGAATTTTTTCTTCCATACATTCTTGGGGGACATTGCTTTTAACAGAAAAGAAAAAAAAAACATAGTAAAGTCGCAGATTCTAGCTTCAAGGCCTTGGACAAGTTCAGGGTTCAAAAATATATGTGGTGACTCTGCACACATGGGGTTCTTGGCTCGGCTCGAAACCAACGGTAAAGTACATTGAGTTATTAATTTATGAAATGTGCTGTGAGGAAAGAAGTGAATACTACACTAATATATATATTAAATTCCATAGGTTTGTTTTTTAAATCTGTAAATTATTGTTTTCAAGCAGCAGTATGCAAGATTTGCATGTAAATTCATCATTAAAGGGCCCTAATCTGTCATCATTAAAGAGCCCTAATCTGTCATCATTAAAGGGCCCTAACCTGTCCTCATTAAAGGGCCCTAATCTGTCATTAAAGGGCCCTAATCTGTCATAATTAAAGGGCCCTAATCTGTCCTCATTAAAGAGCCCTAATCTGTCTTCATTAAAGGGCCCTAATCTGTCTTCATTAAAGGGCCCTAATCTGTCATAATCTGTCATAATAATAAACTGCTCTCTTCCAACACTTCTTCAACTGATAACAGTAGTTCAGAGATATATTAATTTTCTGAATTAGTTTCACAGCCCCTAAATCTTAGAGGATCACAGACAGTCTGGGAGAGGCTGCAGGTCTATTCATCTGATAGAAACAATACATTTCTATCCATCTTCTGCACGACCGGCTTCTTCAAACATGGCCACACACAGGAAACCCAATAGATCTGATTCCAGCCTGATGTATTTTCTGTCTCGGCTGTAGGTCTGTGGCAGAAGCTCCAGAACCGAGCCGTGCCAAAGACAAAGAGGAGAAGACCAGCTCAGGTTCGTGTCCAACTAATTTGTAAAACATGTGCAGTTTATGGAGAAGGCATGGAGACGCTGCACTTAAGAGTTATGTGACAAAATACTGTATGTAACTTGAAAAAAGAAGAAACCAGATGGTGAATCTTTTTATTCAAACAGGATCAAACTCAAACAGCTGCTCAGTTATTGATTGGATTTTTCACCGCGGCTGTAAACTAACAGGGCTCTTAGGGCTGATTATTTCATTTCATTTAACTTTCCATTGGTCAAACTACAGTTATTATTTCGGGAAAAAAACACATTATTGGTGCCCCAGCTTTCTTTTTCCTGCCTGAGATGTTGCTGCAGTTCAGTGTTCATGGTTTTACACTGGTCCAGACCAGAGCAGAGAGGATTCATGGTTTTACACTGGTCCAGACCAGAGCAGAGAGGATTCATGGTTTTACACTGGTCCAGACCAGAGCAGAGAGGATTCATGGTTTTACACTGGTCCAGACCAGAGCAGAGAGGATTCATGGTTTTACACTGGTCCAGACCAGAGCAGAGAGGATTCATGGTTTTACACTGGTCCAGACCAGAGCAGAGAGGATTCATGGTTTTACACTGGTCCAGACCAGAGCAGAGAGGATTCATGGTTTTACACTGGTCCAAACCAAGTGGATCAGGCGAAAATCCACTGAACCATTCAGCATTTTACTTTGGACCAGAGCAGAGAAAATGGTCTGAACCATGAAGCGACTGCTCCACTTCTTATTATGACTATTGTTAACTCTTTAGAATGATCTATTTATTTGTTTTCTTAGTTTGGACGGATGTGTTTTTGCTGCTTGTGGACTCTTCTCGGGTCTCTCTGGTCTCCTACAGGGATCTATAAATTATATACAGTATCTATCTAAAGACTGTGGGATGTTTGTGTTGGTGTTTTATCCACATATGACATCTGTCTGTCCGACTGGAGACCTCCACATCACTCCCAGTTTCCTTGTCTTTGCTCACACAGTGTTCCCAGCTGAGTGGAGGGAGGCGCTGGTGCTCTTGGCCGATCAGACGCTGCTGCAGTTTCCTCTGGAGGCTCTGTCTGTGCTGCAGCGGGACGGCCTGACGTCTGTGACCCGGGACTTCAGTCTGCAGCTGCTCCACACACGCCTGCACCACTCTCACAGAGGTACCACTCTCCTCATCTGGTATTCAGGGGTATTTAGTCTGCCCCTTGTTCTGAACTGCAGTGGTCCCCAACCCCTGGTCTGCGGACACGTACCGGGCCATGGGACAAGGAAAGAACAAATAATTATCGTATCTACTTTTGGAGTTTAAACACTCCTTTATTCTAAATGATTATTAAAAATTCTCTCCTTTCGCCTTGGTCATGTGACACAGTAGCTCTGAAATGTGAACAAATATCCGCTTTTGTAATTAAGTTTTGTAAACACAGAGTAAAGAGAATAAAAAGTGAAAGATTGAGGCGTCTGCAGAAGCTTTAACAAGAGACCAGAACAGAGACAGGAGCAGGATTGGATAAAACCACAAAGACCAGAGGAGTCAGAACCAAAACAGTGCCTCTTGGATATTAGCATTTCAGGTCCGTGGCTCTAAACAGTTTGGAGACCGCTGCTGTCGAGAATCTGTGAAACTTGCGCAGAGAATGTCGGAAAATTAAAAATTTATGTGATTGTTGGGCATAGAGTATATAATTATATCTTTATTTTGACCTTATAGTTGTTTCATGGTAAACGTTTTTAAATCACTATAGCTACTTAAATCTACCTCTTTGGAGCATCTCTATCACTTGATTTTACCCTTTTTTACCATAAAATACATACCAACTATTTGGTAAAGGCCCATCATTAAACAAACTAGTCTACATTAGGAAATAAAATAAAGTGACTATTGAAGGGTTTAACAGATAATTTGTATGTTTTATTTCAGAATCTGTTAAAATACACGCAAAACATATTGGAATATTGCAAAAAATATAAATACAAAAATACATACAAACATACACTGCATTTCTGTCATGAATGTAGTAGGACTCAAAGCCACAGACACATATTAGTGAAGGAAACTGCAGCTGCGGCTACTGTAGCAGTTAAACTATGCTTCATCTTTGAATCTCTCAAAAGATATATACAAATAACCTATGCTGTATTATTACAAATATTAAACTCGGATCAATTCGAGCTACTATATTCTCACCTCTCTACAAACACGGCTGTACTGTGAGGAGAAGACAAACCAAATCTTATTCTTTCTAAGTAAATTTCTCGCAAAGCATCATAAAGCCCTGGTTCAGGAGCGCAGGCAGCCAACCAGAGAAATGGAATTTGCCCAGGAGAAAAAGGTCACCCCACATCCCGCTGGCGTGCACAGGTCCACGCAGACATCCGTGAACGTTCTGGATAAAGGGCCATCTATGAGCTCTGCGTGATACTGCGAGGACCATCCACAGCTCAATTCAGGTCGGACTGGACAGAGTGACTTTATACAGGAGGAGAACGCTGAGAGGGAGAGGTGCTTAAAGTAGGAATATGTTAGATTTTCATGCCCAGTCCTCATTAAAGGGCCCTAATCTGTCATCAAAGGGCCCTAATCTGTCCTCATTAAAGGGCCCTAATCTGTCATCATTAAAGGGCCCTAATCTGTCATCATTAAAGGGCCCTAATCTGTCATCATTAAAGGGCTCTAATCTGTCATCATTAAAGGGCCCTAATATGTCATCATTATAGGGCCCTAACCTGTCATCATTAAAGGGCCCTAATCTGTCATCATTAAAGGGTCATAATTTGTCATGATTAAAGGGCCCTAATCTGTCATAATTAAAGGGCCCTGATCTGTCATCATTAAAGGGCCCTGATCTGTCATCATTAAAGGGCCCTGATCGGTCATCATTAAAGGGCCCTAATCGGTCATCATTAAAGGGTCATAATCTGTCATCATTAAAGGGCCCTAATATGTCATCATTATAGGGCCCTAACCTGTCATCATTAAAGGGCCCTAATCTGTCATCATTAAAGGGCCCTAATATGTCATCATTATAGGGCCCTAACCTGTCATCATTAAAGGGCCCTAATTTGTCATCATTAAAGGGCCCTAATCTGTCATCATTAAAGGGCCCTAATCTGTCATCATCAAAGGGCCCTAATCTGTCATCATCAAAGGGCCCTAATCTGTCATCATCAAAGGGCCCTAATCTGTCATGATTAAAGGACCCTAATCTGTCATCATTAAAGGGCCCTAATCTGTCATGATTAAAGGACCCTAATCTGTCATCATTAAAGGGCCCTAATCTGTCATAATTAAAGGGCCCTAATCTGTGTCATTAAAGGGCCCTAATCTGTCATCATCAAAGGGCCCTAATCTGTCATCATCAAAGGGCCCTAATTTGTCATGATTAAAGGGCCCTAATCTGTCATAATTAAAGGGCCCTGATCTGTCATCATTAAAGGGCCCTGATCGGTCATCATTAAAGGGCCCTAATCGGTCATCATCAAAGAGCCCTAATCTGTCATCATTAAAGGGCCCTAACCTGTCATCATTAAAGGGCCCTAACCTGTCATCATTAAAGGGCCCTAATCTGTCATCATTAAACGGCCCTAACTTGTCATCATTAAAGGGCCCTAATCTGTCATCATCAAAGGGCCCTAACCTGTCATCATTAAAGGGTCATAATCTGTCATCATTATAGGGCCATAATCTGTTATTAAAGGGCCCTAATCTGAAATCAATAAAGGGTCCTAATCTGTCATCATCCAAGGGCCCTAATCTGAAATGAAGGGCCTCTCTTGTTTCACTTTTCCATCTTAAAAACCTTTTCTATAGATGTAACAGAGGCCAAAGATACATGTATGTAAAAACCAGAGATATATTCTAACGATTTTGAGAATGCAATCCACTGTATTGATGTTGCACATTTTATTTGACCTCAAACAGCCCCACATTCCTGCTGAGCAGTGTTGGTTAAGTGTCTTGCCGAAGGACACCACACCAGGGTAGCATATTTAAACACACAAATATCACTCCCAATGGCCTCATGTTGTCCTTTTAGTTTTACAAGTTTTCCCTATAAAACAAAATACTTGTACGTGTTTTTTCTCCAAAGTCTATGTTCCTATCCTCAAGGGAATGATGCACATTTAGAGAAAGCTGCAGACGTCTTTGGCTCTGTAAAGGTTGAATCATTTGCATAAGTTGTGTGGATGTGTAAAGGTTATTGTTAACAAGACTCAGAATGGCTCCAGCTAGAACAGTGCAAACACAAAAACTCCCCAACGCCGCTTACTTTTGATTTGTTTTTTCATCTTCTCAAGAACAATGCTGCTGTTATTACCATAAGTCTGACATGGACAGTTTACCATGGTGTCAGGAAGATGCAGTGTCCGGGCCACTTTTGAAGGGACGATCTGTTACTCTGCTGTTTTGCATGTACACAAACACACAAGGAATTAGCAGCAGACATGAGCACGTCCAGGCTGAGAACGTTTGGGCCGGTCCAAAGTCTGATGCGACTGATGTGATTTATTACAGACCCAGACTTTGAGCTGAATTTGAGCAGAATGTGTTGTTAAATCTGGATAGCATTATTTTTTTTATTTTTTTAAATATAAATAATAAATGTAGGTTTTCCCAGTGAGAAAAAGGTCTTAAACAAATCAAATCATATTGTCTTTATCTTGTTAGGCTTGCGTCTTCTACTTGCATGTAAAAGCCAGAAGCTGTGCAGGGCAGGACCTGGTTAGTTCTGTGATGGGAGACCTACTGCAGAGTTGCACATTTTACTCCACTAGTCTTAATAAATGTAACATCACAGAAAAATGTTTTAAATGAACCAATAAATCCACATTAGTTCAGTGCAAGTCGTCCATATGGCTCCAAACTGGATCGTTAAACTATAGGCAGACGTATCCAACCGTTTCAGAAATAATAGTGTTTTGTCCAAATGTTGTGAACTAATCGGACCTCTTTGTCTTATGATTACATATTTTGAAACACATTAATCAAGGCTTTGCGTGTGTGAAAAATAATTATCCTCCTTGATACATGCTGGTGGAACAAAGCCACAAAAAATGCTACATCCTATTTTTACTTCAAACACACCATTTTTCAGTTTGAAAGATAGCTATAGCTCTTTATTCATCGTAAACTTGGCAGAAAGAGTCCTGTGTTAGTCACTATTTGACACTTTGGGCTGAGAGCTGATGCAAGAACAAGTTTGGTGCATGTTTTTCACTTTTCTGACTAAAAAAGCGCATCTAAAGCTGTGGCAAAGACCAAAACAATGCAATATTTTTGTTATGATGGCAAATGAAATGAACCCAAAACGCGAGACTGCAAAGCTAGGTATTTAAAACCAAGGCAAATACAAAATCATCTTGGTGCATTGTGAATTGGGTTGCAGCTCTAATTGCCACCCCCTGTGACACAGAAATGGATGAATAAAGGGATGAAAGTGAGATTAAATTAAAAAATGAAATACAAAATCCAGCGTGAAAATACAAAACGTAACCAAAGCTGGCGACGCAAGACACAGGATAAGTAATCGGACAACAGGAAGTAGAGCTAAGGGAAATACAGAGGTTGAAAAAATACAAAACTAAATAGAAAATGAACCATTAGACACATTATCTGTTTATTATTTTTGTGTATTGCAAAGAAGACACTCAAAAGTTAAAAGTTAAATGTATGTAGGAGGATTTTCCCAAATGTTAGGAATGAACCGCCCTCTCCACTTTCAGAACAAAACTCTCTGTGCTGATTGGACGAGCACGTATCACCAGAATGATTGACAGTTTAGAGAACCAATAGTCTTGACGATTCCCCGGAAGTAGAACATCCTCCCATATAGACTGTGACAAAAGGCCGTACTTTAATTGACACTTTACTTATTAACAGATCCATACACATTTAAGTTAAAGGTATTCCGGGTGGATCATCAAAACTATTGGTCCCAACTGTCAATCATTCTGGTGATACGTGTTCGTCCAATAAGACCTTGTTTTTGATTTCAGTCGTCACAGTTCTCACACACCTGTTATTGATAACTCCCAGGTGCAGATTGTAGAGGAGCAAGTTTCTGGGTTAAACTCTGTCAAACCTGAAATGGGACAAAAACACTGACCGAGTCGTTAAGAAAGCTCGTCAGCGGCTCTTCTTTTTACGGAAACTTAGAGAATTTACCACTAACTCTAAGATTCTGCTTAGAGCTTCCTGTTCTGGAGGCTCTTTATGAATCCAGACTTTTAAACCAAGCTCTTAAAATCATCAATGACTCTTCTTGCCACCCTGGAAAAACCATGTTCCAGCTTCTTCCCTCGGGCAGAAGATATCAGTCGCTGAGATGCAAGACATCTCGCTATGCTAACAGCTTCTTTCCACAAGCTGTGAGGTGTCTGAACAGAGCACTTTAATTGTTGTTTTTACCCCTTGTATCGGGTTTTTGTCGATCGGTGCCACAGTCTCAGCTGTTTTTATCCGTGTTCAGTGTATTTTAAATTACATTGTTTTGTGCTCTTTATTCTGTCGGTGCACACAGAGTACCTTTTTTGCAAATGTATTCCAATGTGGTTTTATACTGCGCATGGCAAAGGGGCAGTTCTTTCCTAAAATTTGGGAAAATCCTCTTCTATAGCTCTAAGTAAACACACAGATACCCACACCTTCTCACTTCACACACCTATAAATGTCAGTGACGTTGCAGACATAAAAGTCCCTCCCCCAAATGCAGCGTAATCTCCGTCTGCAAACAAGAGTACATATTAATTCTCCTTCCTGTTTGTGGCAGTTGAAGGTGACAACAAAAAGGAGACCAAAGGAGGAAAAGCCAAGAGAGATCAAAGCCAGGCCATCAAAGCAGTGAGTTCAGTAAATTAATCTTGGGTTGCCAGATACACAGAGCAGTATTACTTTCACCTGCCGTCAGCTTCGGCCCTATTTAACTTTCCTCCCCACACGCTTTTATGTGCACTTTTCAATCAATTACATAATGTGTTTTCATAAAGATCCCATTTCGGGCCGCAAAGCATTTATCCTGTCATGCCGGGCTTCGATTTTTTTCTTTCTTCTTCAACTCCCATTTCCTCCCAATGTGCTGTGATTTCTGCAAACTATTTATGTGAATGTCCAGAGCTTTTCAATACATGCTAGATCAAAACTGCCATAAACCAAGTATGTGTCTATTTTTCACAGCGGCCGTTTGTCCTGCCCCCAAACACAATCCCGGTCAACGGCAAGAACATCAAATGTATCTTTTTGTCATTTCTTGTTTGATATTTTGTGTTTATGCATCTGTTTTGCTTCTGCGATCGCGTGCGGTTCTTCAGGTAATCTTTAACTTTGCCTTGAAGATGTGGTGGACCCTCACAATGACGGTGTCTTTGGTAAGTACTCGCAATATTAAGTTATGTGAATATTATAATCGTTCATGACTTATTTTATTGTATTTTTATTTATTCATTTATCTGATAAGAACGCAACAGTTACATTGGACAGACCAGATGCCCTGCCTTTAGTGTTAGAGAAAGACCGTGCTAATTTTCATCACATGTCCATGGGAGGCTTTTAGGACACAAATGCACACATAAGTAATGAAATATACAGTTCATTAACCATTTAGAGCAGGGGTCTCCAACCTTTTTCAATCCGAGAGCTACTTTTATACAAACGAACAGGCAGAGAGCTACTCCTTTTTGCAGTCGTAATAAAAATCGATCTAATAATTGCGACTCAGAGAACACATATAAAATACACCATATTAGTGTATAACCCTATATTTATACTTATAATAGATATTTAATGGGTCAAAAAGTATTTGTTGAAGTGTATTTGTTAAATTCGAATTCCTTTGGCGAGCTACCTGTAAGGGGCTGGCGAGCTACTGGTTGGAGACCCCTGATTTAGAGATTCAGCTCTCAGTAGATCAGCCTTTTACCCATATGCACACTTTTTAACATCTGTTCCATGCACTCTGAGCCTGATAAACTTTCTTATTAAGATCAGAATAAGTATGAGCTCAATGGACCGACGTGTACAATAGCCCTGGTTAAGGGTTTGGACCTTAGCGAGCCAGTGGGTTTTGGGTTTTCTTTTTGGATTTGAGCAAATGAAATTGAACGTTTTATCTACGCAGTGCTGCATTTGAAATATCATGACTGTAAATGAGTAAATATGTAATAATGTACAAACTTGGAAGCAAACTAAAGGCACTGTTTATTGATTACTGACTCACCTCCCAGAGATCTTCAGTCTACACACACTCACCTTTAATACTACCATTCAGAATCAGAATCAGAATCCTTTTCATGTGAGTAAAAGGAAGTCACGAACTAGGAAATTGCTTTGGCTCTGGGTGCAAACAAGTCCTCTACATGGGATGAAGGTTTAGTCTCTCACTGCACACAGATGGAGCAGGTCGCCTGCAGGAGGCACAGGCCAGACCTGTACATGTTTTTAAAGGTAGGAGAATCCAGAGCACCCGGGGAGACACTGGGAGAACATGCAAGGCCCCCTGTTCCGACCGGGATTCAAACTCAGGACCTACATTTAGTCTGTATGTATCATGGTTTAAACCCACCTGTTTCAGCCTTTACTTAGTTTTGTTTCAATGTTTTTTTATGTGTTTTGTGAAGCGTCTTTGAGTGTCCAAAAGAGCGTTATATGAGTGCGTTCACAGTAAAGTGTCAATTAAAGTGTCTGGACGTTAAAGGTTTTAACTCAAAAACTAAAATTGGTTTCATAGATTGGAATAATTATTTCAAACACAGACAGATCAAAGAGAAAGTGTGGATAAAATCAAAAGGAAAGATTGACAAATATATTTTTGGCGACATTTTAAACGACCAGCTCAGCCTCTGATTGGATCATTCTGTGACTCAGTCTGAAAAAGCAGCAACTCCCACTAGATTCACATTAACACAACATCAGGAAATCACTTGGATTAAAAAGGAATCATTGGAAAAACAAATTATGAGCTTTGAAAAATGTGCATTGGACGTGATGTTTCCGTCCATATTTCTCTAAAAAATAAACTAGAAAGAAAAAATTGTCTGGTTTCACATTTAATTGGTTTACTATATGAAAGTTTCACATTGTTTCTACTCTGTAAACAAAAAAGAATCTCTTCATAAAATGTATTATTTATTATGGGGCGACAGAAGATCAGGTAGAGCACTGGTCTTTGGACCCAATGGTCGTGGGTTCGATCCCACCACGAACCATGTCATCTGCTCCCACTACTGCAGAAATTGATTAATAAAGAGGTAGAAAATGACTTGACATTATTATTATTATTTATTATCATATCACATCAGTCTGAGATAACAGAAGATTCAAACACTGTTGCTTTGCCACAGACAGATCTTGGTGCAGGTCTGTCATGTGTCTAATCTGTATCCGTGCCCAGTTTGTTTACATATGTTCGTTGCTCTCTCTCCATGTGCTCAGTGTGTTTACATGTGTTCGTTGCTCTCTCTCCATGTGCTCAGTGTGTTTACATATGTTCGTTGCTCTCTCTCCATGTGCTCAGTGTGTTTACATATGTTCGTTGCTCTCTCTCCATGTGCTCAGTGTGTTTACATGTGTTCGTTGCTCTCTCCATGTGCTCAGTGTGTTTACATGTGTTCGTTGCTCTCTCCATGTGCTCAGTGTGTTTACATGATGTTCGGTTGCTCTCTCATCTCCCATGTGCTCAGTGTGGTTTACATGTGTTCGTTGCTCTCTCTCCAGTGCGCTCCGAGTGTTTACATCGTGTTCGAATTGCTCTTCCTCCATGTGCTCAGATGACATAATGCGAGGTCGTTGTGTTTACATAGTGTTTCGTTGCTCATCTCTCCATGTGCCCAGTCGTGTTTACATATGTGTCATGCTTCGCTCCTCTCTCGCTCCATGGGCTCAGTGTTTGGGTTTCACATGATGTTCGTTTTGCTCCTCCCTCCATGTGCTCAGTTGAGTTTCCAATGTTGATCGTTGCTCTCTCGACCATCTGCTCATGTGTCGTGTGAGAGTGTATTGTACCTTGTGTTCGGTTGCTCTCTCCTAAGTGCACCAGTGCGTATACCTGAAGATGTTGCTCTCTCCATGTGCCTCCAGAGTGTCTTACATGTGTTCGGTTGCTCCTCTCTCCATGAGACTCAGTGTGTGTTACATGTGTTTCGTTGCTCTTCCATGTGCTCAGATGTGTTTACATTGTGTTTCGTTGCTTCTCTCCCTAGATGTCTCCGTGTGTTGTTTTACATGTGTACGGTTGCTCTCTCTCAAGTGTCAGTGTGTTTCCATATGTTCGTAGCTTCCTCCTCCTGTGCAGTTCAGTGTTCTTGTTTACATGTGTTCGTTTGCTCTCTCGCCATGTGCTCAGTGTCGAGTGTACATGTGTTCGTTGCTACTCTCTCCATTGTGCCCCGTTTGTTAGTTTCCATGTGATCGTTGCTCACTCTCCATGTGCACTCAGTGTGTTTAAACCATGGTGTTCGTTGCTCTCTCTCCAAGAGATCAGTGTGTTTACATGTGTTCGGTTGCCTCTCTCTCATGTGCCCAGTTTGTGTTTTCCCATAATGTTCGTTGCACTCTCTCCATGTGCTCAGTGTGTTTACATATTGTTGTGTTACGTTGCTCTTCTCCATCGTGTTCAGTTTGTTTACATCTCTCGTTCGTTGCTCACTTCACTATAACCTGTGCATCCCAGTGTGTGTTACATGTCGTACGAGTGCTTTCCTCCTCCATGTGCACAGTCGTTTTTGTTTACATGTGTTCGTTGCTCTCTCTCCATGAGCACAACTTGGGCTGGCCAGTGTCCGTCGTGTGTTTCCACTCATGTGTATCGTTGCTCTCTCTCCGTGTGGCTCAGTGTGTGTCACTCACATATGATCGTAGCCTCCTCCTTCCATGTGCATCCCGTCGTGTTTAGACAAGATGTTCGTCTGCTCACACTCTCCATGTGCTCAGTGGGATTACGATGTTACCTACTGTTCGTTGCTCACGCTCCATGGTGCCCCACTTTGTTTACATTATGTTCGTTAGCTCTCTCTCCTGTGCGCAGTGTGGTTTACAATATGTACGTTGCCCTCTCCCCAGTTTTATTGTGCTCAGTGTGATTACATATGTTTGTTGCTCCGTTCTCTCTCCATGTGCTCAGTGTGTTTACATGTGTTCGCGTTTGCACTCTCTCCATTGTTGCTCAGTGTGTTTTACATGAGTTCGGTTGCTCCTCTCTCGATTCCAGGTGCTCAGTGTGTTTACCTATTGTCGTTGCATCTCTCACATGTGCTGTCGTGAGCCGACGGCACCTCTCCGTTTTTATCCAGTGGTTTGAATGAGAGAGCTTTTTGGAGACGCTCCCGGCCAACCTCTCCGGCCATCTGACGGGTGGGAGGGCCTTCCCTGGGCAGCACACCCCAGCCTCAGGTTGATGCGGTGTCCTTACCCTTCTATCCCAACCGCCTCCTCAGAAATTGGCCATGATCTGCGTTCTCTATAGAGACCGCACAGTAGTTCTCTGTAAAATGACTTTCTGAATATTAGTCCAGCAAACCATTTGCTTTATGGTCAACTACCATGTAATGTACCAATATGAAATTCCATCCTAATTATTTTCACACTTGTACAATTACAAAACAAGCCTTTTTTGAACTTACGCTTGTTTTCAAACCAAGGGGGTTAAAGTTCATGTCGTGTCCTTCCTGATTTCTCCCACAAGGGGGTACATTTCAGTGTTGCCTCACACGTTACAAAAACGTAGGCTTGGACGAAGCACAAGCTGAGGTTATTATCGGCGGCTGTATTACAACTAGTGTGGATCAAAATCAGCATCTTGGTGAACCTCCCAGTGTCAATCATTTATGGTGCTCTGGTGCTAACTGTCCACCCACAACATTTAGAGCAACGAGTTGGTTTCAGACGAGTTTAGAGGATCGGGTTCTTTTCTTCAAAATTTGGGGACATCTTCCTCAAACAGGAGTTGTGCAATCCTATCATTTTTGTAAACACACAAACGTCTGAGTGAATGTGGCGTGTGTTTACGCTTGCCTTTGAAACTAATATAGTAACTAAACACAAACCGCCACTTTGACTCTGAAATAGCGCTCATGAGGGGAGATTTAGGGATCAAATCCCTACCTCCCCCAGAGGCTCTAGAACGTGGACCATATCAGGTTTATGTCTGAGCTTGCTTGCCTTCGTTTCCTCGCGGAGCAGCTGTCACTGCTGCCTTGACCAGTCCAGCGCCAACCTAACCTTATGTGGGAAATCAAGCTGGCTCTTTTACCCGAATCTATTTTGTGATTCTTGGTGAGTAAGTGCATGGGGTTTATGACATGTCCTAAATCTTTATAACACACAAACTTTCTAGTTGGGAAGCACTAACCATCACTTTTTAAAGAGTTGGGGTGCCCAGTCGAATGTTAAGATGGGGAAATCATTTGCTCCCCCCCCCCCCCCCCCCCCCCCACCCCCCCCACCCCCCCCCCCCCCCCCATGCCCTCCCACCCACACCACTCATCGCTCCCCCACCCCCCACCCCCCCTTTACTACGCACACCCCCCCCAACGCTCCGTCCCCCCCTCCCTAAAGAATCCCCTCATTACCACCCCCTTTTTCCCCAAACCACTCGCTTCCTTACTCCAGCCGTACCTTTTGCATACCCCCCCCCCCCCCCACCTCACTTGTGCTGACCCCCCCTCCATGTGAGTGAGAGTGTATAGATTGTAGTATCGTATAGCTATTTTGGCCCTCAGAGAAAGAGACAACCCGCCATGCCCACCTCATTACCCCCACGTCCCACACTTTTCCCCCCCCCCCCACCTTCCCACCGCCCCTGCCCCCAACTCCCCATTTCCCCCCACCTCCCATCACACGCAACGCCCCTACAGCTCCACCCCCCGCCCATGTACCGCGTTTACTAGTCTTCATGACACAGTGGGAGGGTGTTATGATGCTTCACACCACCCTCCAAAAAGGCCCTATTCTGGGGCATCTCAGACACCGCACCAAGCCGCCCGCGCTCTACGTCATTACAGGCGTCCCCCCCCCACATAGACGCCCTAGTTTTTTTGCCGCTTTGGCCCTGACAGCCCAACCTATATCTGCGACGCGCTTTTCAAATTGGCCCGCCTGAGCTAGAGCAGTGCTGTTTCCTGTTGCGTGTTATTCTATTCCTGGGGTATGGATCGTATCCTCGCCAAGTGATCGGCCCCCATAGCAGCACTTCCGATCCCCCCACTATACCGGACCACCCACACCGCGGCGGCTCCCAGGGCACATTCGTCCTCATGCCCACCTTTTTCACTCCCAGATCACACCCCCCCACACTATTCCCCAATCCCCCACCCTCAACCAATAACCAACATACAATAAACACAATTACCAAACAAAAAATTAAACTTACCATCCCTATCCAACATTACTCCACCTTTATATAATAATAACATCAATTTTTCCACTAGCTCCTCCCATCCCCTCTACCACCCCCCCAACCCCCCCACACTCCCCAAATCACTACCCCCAAAACCCTCTACCCTCCACCCCCCCCCCCCCCCCCCCCCCACACCCCCCCACAACTAATACCCTCCCCTCACCCACACCCCCCCCACCCAACGCCAACCCCACCCCACCCCCCCCCCCCCCCCCTCTATCCCCCCCAAAAACCCTCCCCCCACCCCCCCCACCCCCCACCCCCCCCTCCCCCCACCCCACCCCCCCCCTCCCCCCCACTACCCCCCCCCAACCCCCCACCCCCCCCCTCACCCCCCCCCCCCCCCCCCCACACCCCCCCCCCCCCCCACCAACCCCCCCCCCCCCCCCCCCCCCCCCCCCCCCCCCCCCCACCCCACCCCCCCCCACCCCCCCCCCCCACCCCCCCCACCCCCCCAACCCCCCCCGTACCCCCGCCCCCCCCCCCCCAAACCCCCCCACCACCCCCCCCCCCCCCCACCCCCAGACCCCCCCCCCCCCCCCCCCCCCCCCCCCCCCCCCCCCCCCCCCCCCCCCCCCCCCACCCCCCCCCCACACCCCCCCCCCACCCCCCCCCCCCCCCCCCCCCCCCCCCCCCACCCCCCTACAGCCCCCCCACCCCCCCCCCCCCACCCCCCCCCCCCCCCCCCCCCACCCCCCCTACCCCCCCCCCCCCCCCCACCCCCCCACCCCCCCCCCCCCCCCCCCCACCCCCCCCCCCCCCACCCCCATCCCCCCCCCCCCCCCCCCTCCCACCCCCCCCCCCCCCCCCCCCCCCCCCCTACCCCCACCCCCCACCCCCCCCCCCCCCCCCCCCACCCCCCCCCCGCCCCCCCCCTCCCCCCCGCCCCCCCACCCCCCACCCCCCCCCCCCGCCCCCCCCCCACCCCCACCCCCCCCCCCCCCCCCCCCCCCCCACCCCCCCCCCAACCCCCCCCCCCCCCCCCCCCCCCCCCCCCCACCCCCCCCCCATCCCCCCCCAACCCCCCCCCCCACCCCCCCCACCCCCCCCCCCCCCACCCCCCCCCCCCCCCCCCCCCCCCCCACCCCCCACCCCCCCCCCCCCCCCCCCCACCCCCCACCCCCCCCACCCCCCCCCCCCCCCCCCCCCCCCCACCCCCCCCCCCCCCCCCACCCCCCCCCCCCCCCCCCCCCCCCCCCCCCCACCCCCCCCCCACCCCCCCCCCCCCCCCCCCCCCCCCACCCCCCCCCCCCCCACCACCCCCCCCCCCCACCCCCCCCCCCCCCCCCTACCCCCCATCCCCCCCCCCCACCCCACCCTAAACCCACCCCCCCCCACCCCCCCCCCACCCCCCCCCCCCCTCCCCCCCCATCCTCCCCCACCCCCCCCACCCACCCCCCCCCCCACAAACAAGCCCCCCCCAACCCCTTAGATCTAAGAACATAAACTTAATTATGAACCCACAGATTACCCCCCCCCCCCCCCCTCCAAAACCCCCCCCCCGCACCCGCCACACCCCGTTCTACCTCGCGCGCCCCCCCCACCTCCCCCCTCCCCCCCCCCCACCAAGGGATTATGTAGTTGGAAAAACTTGATTAAACTCAGTCGTTTTTCTCACCGACCGGCGTTTGTCATGCGTGTGCGATGGTCTCCTGTTTCAGGCCCAAAGGACTTTTGGGTGCCCGTGACATGGAGTTTGAATCACTTTTTTTTTTGGGGTTTTTATTGGGAATCGGAAGATGATCTTTTTTTCCACGTTAGCATAAGTACATATATGAGACCAGCTTGCTAAAAAATGAGGCAAAAGGCAATAAGGATGAAAAAGTTTTTTGCAAATTTAAAGCTTAATTGTAGAAAAAGAATCATTTGAGAAACACATGTACCCTATTAAAATAATGTTTGTCTCTGTTTGATGTGGGACTTATACATGTACAGTATGTCTAAAAAAATAGAGAATAAATAAAATGTAAGGGTGATGTTCCTCTGGAGCAAACCCTGAGGTTGATATCGCTGAAGATGAAATACGTTCCAACATCCATTCTTCCCACTCCTATTTTGGACATCAATTACTTATTTTTTTTTTTGTATAATCTATGTATAATTACATTGCTTTTATTTTGTTTTTCTGATCTCAAATGTCTCAAAATTCATTCAACATTAGCACGGCTATCATGGCAATGTGAATGGAGACAGACAAACAACTGATAAAATAATACAATGTGTGTGCTGCTGGATTTGGTGTGTATCTGGCAACCTGAGTCAGGGAGAGTGGGAGAGGCTGCAGTACCACTTTTGGCCACATTTTAACATACTGCTCCTTTAAGTCTATTTTTCCATGTTGTCATCCATTTGGCTTGCCTCTCCGCAGATATGAGCTAAGTTTATACTTTTGAGAATCTGCAGTGGTGATTAAAAACCTGGTTAAAATATGTTTATATAAACGTTATCATATTTAATTCAATGTAAACTATTTTTGTGTAGCCCTAAATCACAATATGTAGTTATCTTGGAGGACTTTGCAAGAGAAAATGCAAAATCCTTGAGGAGAAGAGACCAATCTTCGACCCCCTGCAGCAAACATACACCGCCACCGACAGCGAAGACTTATTTACCTCGCTAAGTATTTTTTTATTCACAAGGACATATGACGAGATGGTTATTTTTATTATCCACGTTTATGTAACGTTAAACTTGTTGATTTAAAAGAAAAAAACACAATTAGTGCACTGATTGGTTCCCTGAGTCACCAAGACATAAAAGTAGCAGACAACAAAATCTGAAAACATAATGTCTTTGAACCTTTCATCACGAGTCATGAGGCATATTTCATGAAGAAGCTCTTCCCAGAACTCATCAGTGACGTTAACCACCTGATAGAGCATGAAAAGGTGTTCTAAAGTCAGATCAAAGACACAAACGTAACAAGAACATGCCTTTCCTTTACTGTACTCATTTCAATCAGTTCCGTCGCTGTCCCCAAAGTAGCTCCATTCTGACTCACAATAGGTGTGTGTGTAATCTGTCATATATAAAAGGGCCCTAATCTGTCATCATTATTTTATTATTTATTCTAATAAAAAATAAAGGGCCCTAATCTGGCACATAATTAAAGGGCCCTAATTGACCATCATTAAAGGGCCCTAAATCTGTCATCAAAAAAGGGCCCATCTGTTCATAATCTGTCATAATTTTTAACCGGGCCCTAATCTGTCATCATTAAAGGGCCCTAATCTGTCATCAAAAAAAGGGTCCTAATTTATGTCATCATTAAAGGGCCATAAATCTGTCATAGTTCTTTTTTTTTCAAAAAGGGCCCTAATTCTGTCATCAAAAAAGGGCCCTAATCTGTCATCAAAAAAGCGGCCCCTAAATCTGTCATCATTAAAAGGGCCCTAAATCTGTCATCATTAAAGGGCCCTAAATCTGTCATCAAAAAAGGGCCCTAATCTGTCATCAAAAAAAAAAGGGCCCTAAATCTGTCAATCATTAAAAAACTCATTGACTGCTACCACATCAATGGCAGTCGTCTTTCAAACCTTTTAGGGGTTTGAAAGACTTTTTTCTTAGTGTTGCTCCATCTGTGGCTCCTACCTTTTACTCTCCTCTGCCACAAACCTCCTTTCCTTCGTAACATCCACAGGTGATAAAACTTTATTGATTTTCTACCTTTATTTCACAGACTGAGGGAAAGCTGTGAGACGGCTCAGTATAGAACTCAGAAAGAGCAGAAAAGGATGTGTCTTGTTCTCAGATATTTTTGGTCACATTAAGGCTATATCCACACGAAGACAAAACGCTTATAATTTTCAGAACACTTTTTTTTTCTTTTTTTTTATTATTTTAATTTTTTTTTTTGTTTTTTCTCTGCGCAAACCCGGAGTTAGCTCAGTCAACTTGTTGTGCTAGGTGGCGTCCATATGCAGAGTCACTCCGCTCATATGACACCCGCTGTGAAACCTATGCCAGCCATCAGATAGGTGGCGCTGAGGAGACGGATGCCGGGATCACCTGCCCCAAAACAACTTCCGATGTGACGGGAGGGGGGAAGGTGGGTGACGGCTACAGTATTGTACAGTGGTGGGGGGGTGGGCATGTGTGAGGTGGGTGTGGGAAGGGCGGAAGTGAAGTTGGGAGGATATGGGGCGCAAACTGGCCCTGCGCCGAATGTTTTTGTAAACAGACACCATGGCACGTGGGGCTTGCGCTAGGTAGTAACTACAAATTCGTATCGGGCCGGCCGCTGAGGATTGACATGTTGCTCTGGGATCACACGGACCAGGATTACAAAACCAACACAGCTACATTTTTGTTTTCATTATTTTCTGGAGTGCCGGCGCATGCGTGCTTTTAAATAGAGGCCTGGGGCAATGACGCAAGCGTTTCTTCGCAGATAACCCGTAGCGGCGAGGCGATGGAAATCCACGGAGCGGCAAAATATCCGGGAGTTTTGAAATCTTTCCGATCTGGGACCTACTATTCCCAACACCAAAAATGTCGTTTTAACACCCCCCCACCACGGCTGGCCTGTCGTATGGACGATTTCTCACAAAACCACTGGTTGCTAAAGTATATATGGATATCGGCCTGCAATGGCTAAATATGAGTAGCGGGGAGGGGGATTACGGGTGGAGAAGTGTTATGGTATTTTTTTTACTGAGTAGATTTTGACATGTGTGTCGTGGATACTGATGAGATGCAGCATGGCGGTGGATTACGGGGGTGTGACGGGGGGGATATTGTGAGCGTCTGGGGAGTTGGGGGAGCTTGGGGGCATTGGGCGATACGAATCGACGGGGTGAGGGTAGCCGAGTGGGGTTGGGAGTAGGGTGGGGTGGGATACTGTTTTGGGCGGTTGTTAGTGGGAGGGCGGTGGAGGGAAGAACCGTTGATTGTTCGATTATAGGACCGGTGCCCTAAGGTACCACTCAAAACATAAGGCCCTCGACATCGACCAAGGACCAGTTTATTCATTTCTTGTACGACACGATCATACCTGAAACATAATGTTTGGCACGAGTAACAACAGTGGCCACAGTTGCCCTGCAGACAGACAGAAGCGGCTGCGCTGATTTGTGGAGCGCACTCCCAAGAGCTCTAGTGTCGTTACCCAAACATGCAGATTAGGGCTGCATCTGTAACTGTGACATTCACACATTTCGAATAATGGCGCATGTGGTTGAAGTTTCTTACAGCTGGGGTAACAAAAACTTTTTACATACATTCTGTCCCCCCCCAAAACAACCAAGGGTATTGGGTCTGCAGCCTCCTCCCCTCTCCCTGCTTCCGTAGATGCCGCTATTGCAGATGCACTCCCGTGGGCCTCCAGGCTGCATCGACATAGAGGTTTTGTCAACAACACATCTCTACCCAACACCATTATACCCAAGATAAGACTAATCTGGTTTTATTCTTTGTTTTGTCATTATCTCTCGTATAATGAATTGGAATTCTAACGCGGACTTTATGTAGTTCTGCGCCCCAATGGTAGCTTTACCCCTCGCTCGCCCGAATAGCTCCACATGGTACTTTTACCAGTGAGAATTAGCTCCGCGGTGTGAGTTCTGGCGCCGGTTGGAGTGATCACCAGACTTTCTAGGGTCTTGTGGATACAGATGGCGTAGCCCTATGCTTTTGACGTAGCCCGGCATTGCTTGGTGTGAAACGGTGGGAGTGGCGGGACACGGATGATGGTGGGGACAACACACATATAACCAGCTATTCGGAGGCTGGCACACGTACTTTCGCAAAATTCCACCGATATCTAGATGACGGACTGTATAATAGATAAAGACGTATTGAAAAGAGCGGTTATTAATCTGACAGATTAGTGAGGGTCCTATAATGACGAAGATTGAGGGCTAAACTGATGACAGATGCTGTTTCGTTTTTAGGGCCGTTAATGATGGGACGTATTAGGGCATTTATTATGATGCCAGAGTCGGGACCATTAATGAGACCGTTTAGGGCCCTTTAATGACGACAGATTAGGGCCCTTATTCTGACAGATTAGGGATATAATTGCTGCCGATTAGGGCTTTAATGGTACGCCGATTGGGTTTAATGACTAGGACAGATTCAGGGCATTTCTGGACGAGATTATTTAGGGCCTATCTTTACGTTTTAATGATGAGCAGATGAGAATTGATTTTGGGCCTAAGGGCCTTAATAAAGCTGACAGCTTGGGCTTTACAGATGAAAGTACTAAGGGCCCTTTAATGATGACAGAATCGGCGGCGCATGACTGCTGACCGATTAGGGACCTGTTCATGATGCCAGATACGGGCCCTTTAATGATGCAGATTAGGGCCTTTCAAGATTCAGATAATTGATTTTTGTTAATTATAATTTTTTATTACATTGATTTTGTTTCTTTTTGTTTTCCGATTCATTTATTTGCCATTTGCAGTCCCCTCCATTGGACAAAAATGTACAACAAGGATATTCTTTCCCGGTGAGGCCAGCCCCCCACACCAGAGGCTTTAGTGCACTGGCAGCATCTTTCCGGCTGCATGTAAATGATGACAGAGTTGTATGGCCCTTTACTGATGACAGATTGGGCTTATCATGCGACAGGCTTTAGGGCTAAATGACGGGAAGATTAGGGCCTTACCTTAAGCAGAATGGGCCGCCCTTTTAATATGACAGAGTAGGGCCCTTTAATGCAGACAGATTAGGCTTTTCTAATGATGGACAGATAAAGGGCCTTTCTCATGAATGACAGCTTCGGGTTTACTGAGACCAGAGCGGGCTTTCAATGGCTGACGCATTAGGGCATTTCAATGGAGTGAAGATTTAGGCCCGGTAAAGATGAACCGAAATTTGTGCTTACTGAGCTAGGGCTTTAAATGCTGACGATTAGGGCCCTTTACCCGCCCAATGATGACACATGGCGGATTTTTGAGACTTTGAAAATCTTACCTAATGTTATTTTAAATGTCACTCACTCGCAATCAGCTTCAGCCTGTGAATAGATCGAATGTTTTCTTATATTTAGTTTACAGCACTTTGTTCTATAATTAAGTTTACGATATTTTGCTACTTTTAATGTTTCTTTATGATTATTTGCCAAATCCGGTGGTTTCAAAAGAGCATATTGACTCGTTTTCAACGGAGTGTGCGAGG